TAAAACGAGCCATGACAAAGGTCCTTTACTTGGGGGATTCTAGGGTTCTAGGCAAAGGTCCTTTACTTGGGATTCTAGACTGTACAACTTGTCTTCTGGAATTATGGTAAAGTTTGGCAGTTTTTGCCTTAGAACAACCAAACCAACAAGAAAAAAAAGCAACAGCAGGTGGCCGAGTCCCCCGATTGGCTGGGAGAGAGTCAATACTTGTCGCAGGCCGGGGTGGGTTGCGTTCTTTCGTGGCGGGGGGGAAACCGGTGGGTCAACTCCTCCCCACCCAAAAGCCTAAATGAATGCCCTGCCACCAACTCACATGGAAGCTGACACGGTTCTGGATGACAGTTTTCGTTTCAAAGGGACCGGGTCCCTGGCAGGTTGCATGGTAATTGCTGGGAGGGTAACGAGATAGCAAGAAATGGTGGCCTTTTTTTGCCAGGGATGCTGAGCAACTGGGCAAATCCAAGGCTTTGCTGTGGCAGACATTTGGTACAGGCAATGAAGCAGCATGAAGGTGGGCGAGGTTGCTTGCCCTGACCAGCTACGCTTTTCAGCTTTATAACGTTGTGCCTACCCCCGGGTGTCAGTTAGAAGTTGAACCCCAGTTGCGACTCTTGCATGTTCCCGCAACCTCCAGGAAACAGCTCTTTGGTGCACACAGGGGTTTCATCTACCAACCTGGTCTTCCGCCAGAGGGCCCCTTTTGGCGGAAACTGGATTTCCAGGAGCCCCAGCGAGATTCAAAGCTCTTCGGGACACGCCTCCACCCATCCAGTGGAAAATATGTTTCCCTTTTTGCGAAGTGGGCTTCTTAGAGCCAAAGAAGCCTTGGGAAGCTTCAAAAAGGGCTCCCTTGCACCAGGCTCACTGGGGTGAGCTTGCTCGCAGGCCTTGGACCTTGAGCTCCCCATGCAGGCGGAGAAGCCCAGGAGAGAACTGGGACGAACGCCAGCGCTTGGCATCCGAAACAACATGGTTGTTGTTGGGAAACATGTTACATCTTTGCTTATTGTGGTTTAGTGGCTGGAATCCAACCACTTAAATGCTAATAATTAAATTGTTGCTCCCCTTCCAACGTCAACCAAGACAAAATTGGGGAGTGCTGAGTGGTGGTGATGCTGGGATATTTTTATATGAGATATGAATTCTGTTTCATGCGTTTGGCGATCACTTGGGTGACACGAGCTGGCTCACCATGGAGGTTCTTGACTTGTTCCACTTCTGGTTTCTGGTTTTGCCAAACGAATGCGGATTCATGCTGGAACCAGGGGGGCCTGAAACCCCTCCCGTCCAGGACGGCGCCTGCAAGTCTGCGGCGCAAGGCGTGCGGATTGGAAGCTATAGCCTTCTGTTTACGGGTAGGCTCAAACTCGGGGTCTCCTCAAAATCGTTTGATAGTCCAGGCAGACTAAACTTTAATCTGTTTCCCCCCAAGAAAAACCCTGGGTTGAAGTCTACCTGAGGTGTGATAGACTTTTCCATTCAGGGCTTATTGGGGAACAGTCCCAGCCACCGAAGAAGCGGGGGTGCCCGGACTTTCATTCCGTTGCTTTCCCTGGCAGGGAATTTCAATGTGTCCGGGAAGTCCACTTGGAGTTCAAGGAAGCTGAAGGAAAAGATGTTGCTAGATCTTTCTTGGAGTCCCTTGTTTTTTTGAAATGCCAATTCTAGGCTCCTTAAAAGATCTCCATTTTGCAACCAATTGAAACATGTTGCTTTTTCCACCAAAAGAAAGTTGGAAACCACCATTTACAAGGCGATGTTCAGGTGTATAATGTGAGGATCCCTGTATGTAGGTTGCGCCTGTGTTGCTGGTTATGATGGAGAAATCCTGGGCTTGCCTCCAAAAAGAACAATGTGATTGATGTGCTACTTGTGACACATTTGTATTTGTGTCAAGGGTCCCTTTAATGTTTACCACCATGCAACTGCCCAGCAAACTAGGTTTACAAAAGGTGAAGTCATTCAAGACCGGGCTTTTTGAGCCAGAAGCTGAAGTTCTTGAAGTTTTAACCATCGTTCGGAGGGAGCGGGTTTTGAAAAACCAACCAGAAGAGTTATTTGCCTTCTAACTTGTCAGCTTCCTCCAAAGAGGAGGTCTCTGGGTCAGTCATTCTGTCACATTTCCATGTGCGTCGTGGTAGTTGTTGGGTTTGCTTTTCACCCTCACTCGCACAGCGTCGAAACCCGATTGTAGGACTTGCGCCTTTTTCAGAAGGTCCCTCCCTCTTTTTGGGTAATAGCAAGAGGCTGCGTGTACCTCAGGTCAAACCGCCAATGCCGTGAGGATTTGCTCCAGGGCCCCATCCCTGCCGAGCGGATCTTGCCCTCCCTGGACCAGCTCCTAGGCGGCTGCGTGGGAGCAGCGGGGGCCTTACCCGATCAGAATGGAGTGATGCCAAGCTGTGCGCGTGCCAAGATGGCACCCCGAAAGCCATTCATTGGTCATGGTTGTGTCGCTTGTGCAAAGATTCACCAAAGGAAGTTGCCGCCAACTTTGGAGGCTTCCCTATCTTGAGACGAACCTGTGTTTGAGGAGCCTCTTTGCCGCGGAGTAAAGCCACCATATGTTCCCTCTGGCGTGAAGCCAACCTTTTAAGGATACAACCCCCGTGCTGTTCACCCATCGTGCTGAAAGAAACCACCCGTTGTCCTTGTTTTGTTCTTTTTTTAGAGCATCCTTTAGGAGAATGAGGGCGGGGGTAAGGCTAGAAACATTGTGTATTCCTTTTGGTTGGGTTGGGTCTTAATGAGGGGAGATAGGATACCCAGCTAGAGCATGCAAGGCATTGTATGGCTTGCTTTCGGGGAAATGGACGGCCTTTCTGTGAAGAAAACGAGCCATGGGAAGTGTCCCGGGCAGCCAGCTAACCTCTCATCATGTTTCTTAGATTGGTCTGTCTTTTCTTTGAGGGTAACAATTGTCTGAGGTTTTGAAGGGAGTCCAAAAGACAAAACATTGCCGTTTTGCCGGGTACTCTCAAACAAAGACGCACCCGCATAGCGAAAGGGAAGACGCTGGAGGGGTGGGTGCTTTGCGCACCGTGACCAGTCACGACAGACGTCCCGCCAACCGATTTTGTTTGTGGGACCTGCTGCCTTTAACCTCATGAACATTCAGGTTTCTTTCCATTTAGGGAACCTCCAATATCATACTCGCAGGTACAGTCTTTGTGATCTATGTATTCGCTGTTTAGATGCAATGTGCGAACGTTTGCGAGACAGGCATTGCCCAAGCACGCATGCGGTGTTTTTTGGGGTGGGTCAGCATTACGACACAACTCGGTGAGGCCAACTTGTCCGCCATGCTCCTCAAGGATCGCGGCTTTCAAGCTGCAAGTAGTGGGCGCTGTCTCTGGGTGCCGTGCTAGTCTCCTAGGGGGCCTTGCTTGAGGGCCCGTATTATGCACTGTTGTCTTACACCTAAAGCCACGGGTTTGCGGCGTTGGACATATGTCTGTTGTGCCTTTCCCTCTTCAACAAACTAAAGGGGCAGCAACTCATCTTGGTTGGCCGGAAATAGCTGATGCTGCAATTCTGTTGCGCTCCCTTCGTAGGCAACACTAACGACATCATTGCTCATGGCTTCACCCGCCTGCACAATAACTTTGCAAGCCTTTGGAGCCGAGCTCGATTGCCACGGGCGCCGTAGACGGTTTCCTTTGCGCCAGTTGATTTTCATGGTATTTGGTGGCTCCGGAAGCTGGACAGAGTGCTGGCCAGTCTGCCTTAGAAGGAGTCCCCCTTTTGCACATCAGCACCCGCCACACATCAATGCCGTGTCACAAACACGCTTTGGGCCTAGAGAAGAGGCTTTTGGCGCTGGAAAGCACTGCCAAGTTGCAAAAGTTGCTCTGAACAGAGGAGGAATTGTCAAACCCTTCGCCAGCAAGTTGAAAGTGCGTTGGAATGACTTTGTAATTCCAAACGTTTAAACTTTTTGGGAGTGCCGGGAAGATCGAACTTTTAAGGGGGACCACGATAAACATGGTTTACTTGCGTGGACATCACGCAGTTTTTACACATATGGCAACACCAGGTCGGACGGGCTCGTGCGGTGCCAGCCGCAACATCAAGATTTCCTGAGCGCTGCGTTGGAAGCACCCGGTTGTTCAGCGGCACCCTCTAAATCCCCGCCTTGTTTGGCACGGTTGGGGGCCAATGCAAGGGTTGCTCAACACAACCCAAAAGGGTTTCCTTTTCAGGGTCACTGGAGAACTGGGAGCACGTTGCTTGCGACTTGCAACCCCTGTTTTTGCCGCCGACACCGGCGACCCGGTGGTCGAGCTTGACGCGAATCATTCCGTGGCGCTTCGGCTCTGGGGCTCCGAAATCCGGGCTTGCCAAAGGCAGCCAGGAGCCCTCGAGGCACCGGCACAGCGCAATTCGCCGCGCGAATCGCCAGCCTTCGGGCCAAAGAATTGCCCCAGAGGGAACAAGACAGAGAATCACGTTTAAAAAAATAACAGAAAAAGGCTTGGCAGGGCGCGTGTTCTGTGCGCCGTGAGAGATTCGACGAGCCGGCGCCGTTTGTTGGTGTGTGTTCCGTGGTAAGATCGTCCTTGGTCGGTGGAGTTGGGGTTTTGTGCCTTTACCAGGAGCTACTCATGGCAGTCCTTTAAAGGTTTTTCCCTTTGGTCCCGCACCAGAAATTCGGGGCGATCTGAACACCTAGTTTCAGCGGGAGGGAGGCCATCCTGTTGGTAGCTGAGCCCCACACCCCCAGGCCTTTCGCAAGCAAGTGTGGCTCTGACTTGTGTCACGCAGCCTGCTTGGAACCATTGCATCAGGTTACAAGCCTATTTCTCACGAGAAGATGAGGGCTGGCCGGTCCCTTCCTAGGCAGTTGCCCCTCCAGGCTGGGGAGGGTCCCAGGCGTGTGGCTTCTACTCAAAACCTGCGCCCACCCCCTGCACACAAGTACAGCGAGTATCTTGATACCTTGAGAACGCAGTTTCTGGGAAGGAGGCGCTCGTTTCGCCGAGATTTTGCATCAAGCCGAGGCACCGGACATTGGCACGCCGCCTATGGAGCCTGCGTGCCAAGGGCCGATGGAAGGAGGCTGATGGTTGGGCGGATGCAGAGTGCTCGGCTTGTGTGGGAGTGATGCGCCGTGCTGTGATTTGAGAAGAGTAAAGTGTCATCCCGGACCCCTTCATTCAGTCTTTTGCAAGGGGGGGTCCTTTCTTGCATGATATTTCTTTGTTCAGCCTCCCCACGAAGATATTTGAGCACCCCCTTGAATCATTGAAGTGCGCAGTCGGCAGGATTTGGAGCAGCTTTCCTTGATTTGTGCCGTTCTAGCTGCCTTGTTCGCGGCCTTCACCAGCCTTCTGGCGAACGTAGCTCAATTCGCCAATCCGATGGTGGTGGTAGTGCGGTTGTGGTGTCCCACTATGGGGTTACGCCATGCAGGCAATATCGCCCTGAAGTAGAACCAAAGTCCCCACAACTTTCAATACCACTGGGGTTGCAAGTTAGAAAAAAGCAGTTCTCTTGAGTCGTGATATTTCAAGTGGAATGGAATGGTCGCGGACTAGACCCTGGCTGGGAAACGCCGCTTGGGTCAACTTCCATCACAGATTGAGCCTGCGACCTCCGCTTTCTCCTCGCTTGGTTCCTGCATTCTTTGGTTCCATGATTCCAAAATCGAGAAACCTTATCAGTCATCAAGCCACATCTTACTGGGCACCAGCTTGCTGCAAGACACGGCAAGAGCCTGCAGTTTGCGTCAGGCGTCAAGAACAAACTTGTCGGACATGGCTGGGGCAAAAAGGGGGTGTGCCATTTTACCCTGAGAGTGTGATCACCTTGACAACTTTCCTCTTGGAGGTCCTGTCTACTTCTGCGTTTGCAGGTTGCAATTCCTTCAATGGACACCCCCGCAATATGTTTCTGCAATGGTCTGTTGTTCAGTTTATGCCAGGTGGTAGTGGTTTGCCTTGATTGCTTTGGTTCCTCACCACTGGAATAGGAGTTGCCGCCCCCCCCATTCTATTCTGAACAGCCTAGATGGGTTCAAACGAGCCCTGAGTCCTGCAGCGGACTCTGTGTTGGAGAGAAGGGCCAAGTGCCGTATCTGGGCCAGGCCCCAAGGCCCCAAGACGTGGGTTGGTGCAAGCGTCCCTGAATCAATATGCAACAAAAGAGTGCCTTTTTTCCATGGCTGCTCGAGGTCTGAAACAGTCTGAGGGCAAAGAACGTGACAATCCCTTGCAGACAAGGGTTCCCGAAGGAACAGGTGTTTCCATGGCTGGTCTTTGGTGAGCCCCTCTGATGTTTGGACGAACGCCTGCCTGGGTTTAAGCCAGTTGGCCTCCCAAAGCTGAAGCACGAACGGTCAAGCGCGCAGCCCTGTTTACAAGTCGTCTTACCCTGACACCTGGAGGGCGTCTCAGGCATCACATGAGGTTCCGACGAGTGTTGGACGGACGTGGCTAGATAGGCTCACTACTAATCAGGAAGCTGGGAGCCTGGATTGGAGGTTGGAACTTTGTGGTTCCTGAGTGAAGTTTCTCACGCCCATTGCGGGAACAACAAGGGTCCTCACAGGTCCCTGTTCGGGTGGATTTGGCATAACCAACCAAAGCGTCCCCAAATAAATGCCATCCTGGCACTGCCAGGCTTAAGCTTGCTGGCCCTCAAAGAAAATGAATGGCCCTATAAACCATGTCTCTTTTCAAAAAATCCCAACACCCGGTTCATCCCACCCGGAACGGTGAATTCCCTATCGCACCGCGCCAGGCGCTGGCGCTGTGGCAGGAAGAAGGCCCCCAGCAACTCGAGGCGGCGGAAGCCGCTTGCGCGGAGGCGGAGAGCTTGCGGGGTCCGGGCTTGGGGGCGTCCGAGACTGTGGGGTTCACGTGTGGGTCTGTCTTTTTGAGGCTCGGTGCCATTTTGGGGTTGGATTTTGGGGGAAGCCAACGAAAACACAGCCCCCTTTGTGGTCTGTTCCTGTGTCTGTTTCTGGACTACTTCAGAATTCATTTTGGTGGAGGGTGGAGGAAATCACTGCCCACCCGCCCAAACACAGCACCTGCCAATCGCGGATGAAGATCCTCACCGTTCTGAGTCACCTTAAAGTGAGTCACAGCGTGGTCAGCCCAAACAAGACACACCCAAATATATCTATGTGTGCCATGGGCCAAACACTCGATCTCTTGAGAACACCTTGAGCCAGGTTTGGTGCCGTTAGGTGTCCTTTAAAAGGGGGTCGCGTGTGGAACTCCTGCCCTTGCAAGGGAGACCATGACAAAAGGGTCCCAAGCAGTTCCAACACTTTATTTCATATGACCATGAATTGCTTGTTTCTAGAGTCACCCACGACCCAGCATCTGCTTGTTTAGACCCTTCCAGTTGAAGAGATTTGGGTTTCTGTTGCTTCGCATTTGCGGGTCACATGTCTACCCTTTTGCCAGGTTTCGGGAGTCCAACACAACACATTTCAACAGGGAGACCGACTATGACGGACTATGTCGTCTTCAGTCTTTTGAACTTTTGTCACCCACCATTCCTACGTTTTGCGCAGAGGCGCTGGGCGCAATGGTGCGGGTGGCTGCAGCAGCAGAGGCGTATGCCTCCTGGTCAGCTGCGTTTTGTGTGTGTGTTTTTTTCCCGAAAGCATCGCGAAGGGTTCTTCCGTGCGGAGCCCTTGGACAAGTTACACAGAGCCAAGTTGCACAGAGCCAAGTTACATGGAGCCAAGTTACATAGAGCCAAGTTACATAGAGCCAAGTTACACAGAGCCAAGTGGCACAGAGCCAAGTGGCACACAGCCAAGATCCACAGAGCCAAGTGGCACAGAGCCAAGTTGCACAGAGCCAAGTGGCACAGAGCCAAGTGGTACAGAGCCAAGTGGCACAGAGCCAAGTGGCACAGAGCCAAGTGGCACAGAGCCAAGTGGCACAGAGCCAAGTGACACAGAGCCAAGTGGCACAGAGCCAAGTGGCACAGAGCCAAGTGGCACAGAGCCAAGTGGCACAGAGCCAAGTGGCACAGAGCCAAGTGGCACAGAGCCAAGTGGCATAGAGCCAAGTGGCACAGAGCCAAGTGGCTCAGAGCCAAGTGGCACAGAGCCAAGGTTAGGTAGAGCTTGCGTAGAGCTTCCGCGTAAGCAGCTATGTAAGTTAGTTTAGGTTTCTAAGTCGCCGGGGCGGGATTTTGATCATCGCTCGGGATTGCGACCCTCTGCGGAGATCCGCGTGGTCGATGTTCAAAAACTGAGGACTTTTTACGATTTTTAACATGCGCGCGCGACCCTCTGTGGAGATTCGCGTGGTCGAGGTCAAAAAACAGGACCTTTTACGATTTCTGCGGTGCGCGCGCGACCCTGCGGAGATTCGCGTGGTCGAGGTTCAAAAACTGAGGACTTTTTTACGATTTCTGCGGTCCGCGCGCGATTGCGGAGATTCGCGTGGTCGAGGTCAAAAAACTGAGGGATTTGTTTTACGATTTCTGCGGTCCGCGCGCGGCCCTCTGCGGAGATCGTGCGCGTCGAAGCGCTCTCGCTGTGGCGCCGTGCGAATTTGTCTTAGTCTCGGCGAACCCTCTGCGGAGATTGCGCGTGTCGAAGCGCTCTCGCTGTGGCGCTGTGCGATTTTTTTGCTCGCGAAACAGCCTTTGGAAGTTATCTCGTGGTTTGCGCGCCTGCTTTCGCAATCCCACGGTCGCGGGCTCGATTCCCCCCTGGTCCGCGGCAGCATCCGGCTCGACAATCCCAGCTTCTAAGTTTAAGTACAAACGTAGTACGCGGAGCGTGCTCCTGCAGCTCCGGCTGGAAAATTGCAACTTTTAAGTACAGACGTAGTATGCGGAGCGTGCTCCCGCAGCTCCAGCTGGAAATTTGTAACTTTTAATTGCAAACGTAGTACGCGGAGCACACTCCCGCAGCTCCGGCTGGAAAATCGCAACTTTTAAGTGTACGCAAAGTACATTCCCACAGCTCCGGCAGCACTTGCGCAGAGCAACTTGCGCAGAGTCACTTGCGCAGAGCAACTGGCGCAGAGCAACTTGCACAGAGCAATTGCACAAAGCACGTGCGCAGAGCAACTTGCACGGACCAACTTGCGCAGAGCACATGCGCAAAGCGCTTGCACGGAGCAACTGGCGCAGAGCACTTGCGCAGAGCAACTTGCTCAGAGCACTTGCGCAGAGCAACTTGCACAGAGCACACGCGCAAAGCGCTTGCACGGAGCAACTGGCGCAGAGCAACTTGCACAGACCAACTTGCACAGAGCACATGCGCAAAGCGCTTGCGCGGAGCAACTGGCGCAGAGCACTTGCGCAGAGCAACTTGCTCAGAGCACTTGCGCAGAGCAACTTGCACAGAGCACTTGCGTGCAGCAGCTTGCAGAGAGCAACTTGCGCGCAGCAGCCTGGAGCAATGCAGCTTGCGCAGACCACTTTCGTGAGAAATCGCGCGGCGCAGTTCGAGAGGAAACTAGGATGATGAGATGGAGCTCTCATGTGGCCATACACATTGAGCATCGCCGCGTGCAGACACGCTCGCCGCAGCGATGTAAAAAGGTGTCTCCGCGGCTGGATGAGCACCTGGGGAAAAATGCTTTCGGGCCAATCGTCCTCTAGTTGTTGTTGTTTTTTTTTTTGGGGGGGGGTTGGGTGAATGGGCGAATTCAAGGGTATAAGGACGTTTGGAGAGTTGAACCTCTTATCCTTATATCATATATCCTTATTGAGGGTCAATGCGGGTGGTTAGCCACCCGCAACCTCGGAACCACCAGTCCAAACCACCAATCCAGGGTGATGTGACGAATAGGGGGCCAGGACATTTTGCAGTTGAGGCAAAATTCCCGCCCTTTGTTGGTACTGGATGCTAGGTACTGTTAAGAGGGAGAGGCTACCACAAGTGCCCTCGCCCCCCCAAATCAATCTCATTGGAATGTACGACGCGTCAAAAACTGGGCAGACTTGTTTCCCGATGGGTTTGTTTGTTTTAACGGGTGCTGACATCTGCCCAAGCCGGTCTCACGACCGCCAAATTGTCCCAGGGCATGGTCTGGCTTAGACCATTTTCCTCCACACAGGACCCACGCAGACACGAAAAGTGACAAGCTTCTCCGTGACAAATGGCCTGACAGTCTACACAGGCAAGGGCCCACCCCAACAGACCCATGTGCAAAGCAAGCTTGGCCGCATTCTGTCCCAAACGAACTCAGCTGGGGACATGCACAGGGTTGTCCCTCTTGAGGGTTTTCTGAGTCTTCTGTGCCACGCTGGACGCCATTGCACTTGCGCGCGCGTGTCTTTGCGTGGGCGCGAGCCAAGCTTTGTAGAGGTATTTCTCCAAACCTTTGGTTGACGTGAAGTTGGTGGAAGGGGGCCCCGCAATCCCTACCCAATATGCCAGCAGGTCGGAATTCCGCGAAAGCTCAGCTGCCCAATTGCCAGGCCTGTTTGTTCATTGCGCAATGGCGGTGTCTTTTTAGCGTTCTTGGCAGAGCTTGAACCCGCAATGGTAGTTCGTAACATTTGCTCTATGTGTGTGACTATGGCTTCGGGCACGCAACTGTTCCATCTGCTTCTGCCACGCGGAGGCCATGGAGCATTTTGCGAGAACGCGTTTGCCTAGTATTTTACTAGGCTCCAACGTCCAACCTGACCGATCTTTCAAGGAAACAAACCCCACCCGCGAAGTCGCCAAATCCCTTGCTGTTCGTGGGTGTTTGGCTGGGTTCCTGGAGATGTTGCCGTTTTTCTTGCAACCTGAAAGCTTATCGACTGGGCGTTCTGGGGCTTGAGCTGGCCGACCGGGATGGCCCAGTGGAGCCTGGCGAAGCTGAGCCGGCAGGCGTAGGGCCCATGCGCGGGATCGCTGAAGGCCACCCCTCTTGAAACAATCAGGGCAAAAATCAAAACGACCGTCTAACAGGGGGTGCGACCTTGGATCGTTGTCATGGCAGCCCGCAGGCTTGAAGTGTTAGGGGGTCTACACCTTCAAAAGCATTTTCTTCTTCATTTTCGATTGCTTGGCTTAGCTGCGCTAGGGACACCAATGCGCAGCTTGGTGCATCGCGGCTTATGGCTGGTAGTGGGCAAACCCACTGCCAACTGCCACTCGCCCCCCCCTACTTTGAAAACCGGGGCAGGCAGCCCAGCTCCTACGCAAGATGCGGGCGCAATCCTTGGAGCCTGAGCGCTTGGATCGAGGTGTTGGGGGGCTCTGGGCATTTAGTGTTTGACAGGTTTCTGGCTGTCTTGGATGGTTTTGACAAAGGGAGGCGTCGGCGCTGGATGATTTTTTTGGGGTAGGCTTCGTGACCCGTTCTGCACCCCTCCCAAGAACCAATATTGCAAGAAATGCGAGTGACCGTGGAGGTCAACAAGTCCTTCGTTTTAGGCAAGGAGCGCGTACTTTTATCGTATTACTAAGGGAGCCTCTGAAAATGATAGGTGCGGCTTGTTCAGCTGATGTTCGCAGTCAAGTGTACGTTTCGGTGCTGCTCGCTGATTTGCCTTGTGTGAAACCTGTGGGTAAGACCGAGACGGTTGATTTGTTGCAACGGGGTGCAAGACCAACGCAGTCATGTAAGACGCGTCGCCTGCTCCATTTGCACCAATCCTGACAGCCGAGGTAAACAGGCATCCTGTGGCCTTTCAACGATCCACATTTCTCTAGCGGAACTGAGGGGAAATTTGGAAGACCCGGCACGGCTCAACAAGATGAAAGGCACAGAACCTCTGAGATGTTGAGTTGTAAATAGGATGTCGTGAAGCGGGAGATAATGCATGTGTCATTGCGGTAGCTCCCCACAAGCTCGCTCATTGTTCCAGTAAAACACAGCCCATTCGCGCTTCTCTCATTAAGGAGAAGCCAAGAAGAAAGCTAAAGCAGTGTAATAGTGAGACATTAAGCACCGTCAGAATCTAAACGACGCAAGCGCCATCCCATCATGAAATCTCTAACTCTAAAAGACAATGCTAGCAAAGGCCTGGGGTCAAATCATACCGAGCTCATCTGAGCCCATCAAGCCAACTCATGCTGATACAGACACATGCATCACAATCTCTATATATATATACACACATTGACAAACCTTTTTCTATACAAATATTTTGTTTTCTGGACCGAAGGATTTGTTTCAGGTGGGTTTGCTTTCCTAGGCTGGGAGAGGTGGCGGTGGGCTCGGCGGTGGCTGCCTGCGTTGCAGGGGGCGCCTGGGAACCTTGTCCAGATTCACACGGAGTATCAGAATAGGGGAACCCCGAAATGGTGGCCTTCCTCCCAACAACCTTCAATTTTAGATGGAACTCTCTATACTTCCACCTTTTGATGGGTTTAAATAATACTAATAAACAACACTAGTTTTGCTCAATTTACGGGGTTTATATCAACCCTATGTCTAGAGTTTCTCTTGTTCTCTCTTTCTCTTCCTCTTGCTCTTGCTCGTTGATCTTTCTCTTCTCGTTTTCTCTTCTCTTCCCCTTTCCACTTTCCACTTTCTTTTCCATTGCAGGCGTTGTTTCTTCATCTTATATTTGCGCAAGACCACTTCTCAGTTGGTGCCCGTAAAAGGGACGTTTCTTCTAAACTTCCTGATTATTTTGCTGGGGGCGCAAAGTCCTTGCTTCTGACTCGACAGGCAACAGGTTGGGCCCAATTAGCATCAGGGTGTTCTGCTTTTAGTTGGGGGCCAACCCCATGTTTTTTGTGCGGGGTGGGCCTTTAAAGGAATTTTGGAGAACGTGTTCATTTTGGATCCGGGGACACGCCCATGTCGTATATTTTGGACATGTTCTGACAGACACGTTTACGACCGATTGAAACGACTTTTTGGTGGGTTTATGTTTAGAGGGGGACACTAGGGCCCAACTGCAAGCAGCGGGCTCCGCGCCTCTATGAATCATCCATTCAGGCAAAGTTTGTCCTAGCCGCCGAGAGTTATTCTGTCCTTCAGAGATGTGTAGGTGGCCTCCGAATAGGACTAAGCCCAAAGGTTTAACAAAGCTCCGTCTCACAGTGGAGCAAGTTCCGGCAGCCCACAACGGCATGAACTCAGGTTGATGGCCCTATCCAAATGTCCGTTAATCTTGCTTTGCGTCCCGTGTCAAACATCATAGCTCTCCTATGTTTGCTTGTTCTCAAAACCCTTTTAAGACCTTCTGAGAGGGTTCCAGGAGCCTTTCACTTCGGGCAGTTCCGAGTGGCGAAGACCGCCCAGGAAGAAGCCATCAAGCTCCTGGCAGAAGTGGAGCTCTGGAGCGGGAAATGACGAGCCGCACCAAGCAGGGGCGACCCCGAGATGCGTTTCTAGGCCCCAATTCGGGAACAGCTGGTTTGTCGATGAAATGATTCACTGGCAGATTAGGGCATGGCTGTGACAGGATTCCCTTTTCCTTTTGGACCCGATTGAGTTTGGTTGATGAGGCGCGCCGTTCACAAAATGTTTCATGGCATCATGATATGGGATTCCGCAAGAATACGCCGGCGCCGCATGGGCTTCGACCCTAAACCCAGCAAGCCTAACAGGCAGACCTAACAGTCAAACAACTCCCACCCCACAAAAACACACAGAGAGACACCAGCACAAAGCCACAACACAGCATCAAAAAAACTGCGTACGCATGAGAGCAGCAATTGCAAAGCCATGCAACGCTACTCGCACGCCACTTTCATCCTGCCTATTTGGATGGACGAGGGCAATCGCAGCAAGGCGTCATTTTTCTCAAACGGTTCCAGTGTGGTGGATCCCCCCTCTTTCCGGCAAACAGGAGCCTGCCAGGGTCGCGTCCTCCAATCTCTCCGGTTTGTCAAGCCGCACATGTTGACCACCTTCAAAGCCAGGCCGCCTCATTTTAGTTCCCAGGTGCGTTTCTCCAAGCAGCCAACCGCTGGAGGTGTGCTTAATTTTGAAGCTACATTTTGAGCCATGCATGGCACTATTTTGACTTGGTTGTTCGGCAACAAGTCCAAATTCCTCATGCCAGATGGTACTGGTTTCCCTTGGTGTGGCGCCCCGCTACGGATTACGGACCATTGTGAACAGCCCGGTGAAATGCTTCCTTGTCCTCAGCTGCTTTTTGCCTTGCAGTTCTGCCATCCCGATTGCCTCGCCGCGACTCCCTCAGATCACTCAAAGCCCTTTTGGGCTGAGGGGCCCTTGGACAAAACGACATGTGGCTACTAGCCAGTCACCAAGTCACTGCTTTGCCAATTGAAGTTGGTCTCGTTGATTTTCTGGCTACCCCCAAACCACTACGCCCCAAACGAACACGGGGTAGAAGAAACCCACTTCTTAACCATCAAAGGTATACAGCTAGGAACAAACACCCATGCTTCGGGCGGTTTCCGGCGCTCTCACAAGCAATGGCCAGCTCATTCACTTTGGTCGCCTGACCACCACTTCAGCAGGTGGCCCTGAAAAGGCGTTTTTCTTCTTGAAAAGACACATTCCCAGGCCCTGGTGAAAGAGTGAACCATGGACACCACTGCCAGCCCTGGGAGCCCAGCCGCCAGGAGCGTGGCCCCTGGGGTGGTGGCCTACAACGCGGCGCTGGGCGCCTGCGGCCGCGCTAGCAGCGCCGAAAGCGCTGCGCAGCTCTTGAGGCGCATGGACCGCCTCCAGGCGTCAGCGAAGCGCTCCCGGTCGTGTCGTTTGGCATGGGGGGGGGAAGGTTGCAGCTCCTGGTGTATGTTGCTTGTGTTTTTTGTTCTTGTGCTTTGGGGGATTTTGGGGGAGAGTCCTTTGTTGGCAGTTTTGCGGGGAAGGGAAGCTAGTAAAGGAGATTTGGGCCAAGCTGGCTTTGGTTTCCTTTTTGGGTGGGTTGCGTTGGCCAGTGGCCCGCCAAGGATTTGTTCATCCCAGGGCCTGCGGCAAATCTGGCATCATCAGAGTCAAGCCGACCCATAGCAGATGTTCAAATTCATAGTCCCAGAGTTGTTTGGAGCAAAAACCTAGAAACACCGACTACAACAATCAATCAGACCAGAGTTAAAACTCATGAACCTCAAAAACTACTACTGCAACTACGCTTCGAGGTTTGCGCAATCGGAGAGAAAAGGCCCCCTGGTCGCCTCCCGTTTCGTTGCTCACGCGCCAGGTGGCGCCCACTTGCCGCACCTTTGGCGCCGCAGTGGGGGCCATGGGCCGTGGCCACGCCTGGCAGGCGGCGGTAGGCGCGGGCAGACATTCGCGCGGTGGGGGACACTGGCCCGTGCGGAGGGTCTCACAAGTCGGGGCCTTGCCCACGGCAAGTGTCCCAGGGCAAGTGTCCCAGGGCAAGTGTCAAAGGGCAAGTGTCAAAGGGCAAGTATCAAAGGGCAAGTGTCCCAGGCAAGTGTCAAGGGCAAGTGTCCCAAGGACAAGTGTCCCAAGGGCAAGTGTCCCAAGGGCCCTGTAAGGACCTTGCCCTCGCGAAGGATTTGTTGGGTGCTCTAGGTATTTTCTTTGTTGATCTAAGGGTTTAGGGTGTGTTGCTTCTGTGGCCAAAGAACATGCTATGTCTCCTGTTTTGGGTGATCTACTCATCATTGTTCGTTGCTGCGAAAGCAGGAATTCTCAGGATTTGCTATGCTTTCCAAAGCGCAAGCAAACGGAACGTTCTGGAGGGTTCCATAGTTTCGAAACACCCAGGTTGGCTTAGTAATTTGGCTTTGGCTGGAAGTGGACTTGTGGATGGTTTTGTGGCTGCAAGCGCTTTGCTGATGGCATGCGCTGCAACGCTGGTGTCGCGTAACGCACGAACAGGTTGTTCAAGTTGATTGCAATTAAATCAGAACATGCCAGAACCACACGCGTACGCTCGTCACTGTGTTGGTGGAAGGACTTGGGCTTTGACCTTCTGCATAGATGGCAAGTCATGAAAAGGCGCCATAAAACCGTGGGCAATGCACCCGTCTGGAGATCACATTGCCATCTAGTCGGTTGTTTTTTTCCAGCCCATCACGTTTCTCCAGGCCTTTTGGAGAAGATGCTCCTGGGCTGCATCTCATTGGCTGGGGCTTTGCGACCTCATGCCGCAGATAGGTTTGTTTCTACATTCTTTATATTCCCCTTTAGCCGGCTTTTTTTGGTTGGGCCAATTTGGATTGACTTGTGTTGTTTTCCCGAACGCGGTTCTTCCGTGCGGAGTCCTTCTCTCGCTATCTCTACTTATCTTTTGTTTTATTGTTCTGTTTATCTTTATTTTTTTCTTTCTGTTTCTCTTGTTGTTTTTCTCTGTCTCTGTCTCTCTTTCTTTCTCGCTTTCTCTCTCTCTCTCGCTTGTTTTCTCTTTCTATGGATGGAGGATGATACCGGCAAACCCCCAACTTTCTCCAACCACCTTCTTGGATCCATGTTGGCGAGGATTTGCGTTTTGTTTGGACAGCGATTCTCCACAGCAGCGCGGCGCAGTCTAACCTTCATGAACTCCAAAGTGGGCTAGGCCCCAACAACTCAGCTTATCCAGACAAGCCGCTCGTGAACCTGGTAAGGGTAGTCCTGGCAAGTTTCGCAACTCGCTATGAGTCATGACACTTGGCCAAGTCTTGAAATGATTGGTAAAGATCTTGGCCTTCTGTTGCAAACTTGCCGTCTCCCCCCCCCCCGAAAGACCACGGCGACTCAACGCCAAGGCGAAGCTCGCCTGGCGGCGAAACTGGCGCGTGTTGGAATGTGTCGGCTGGGCGCAAACCCTGCCGGCGGTTCTTTTCCCGCATGGGCCACCTGAAGTTCAGGATCTTCTGTAAAAAACATAGGGGATCCAGACAATGGGTGGTTTCCCGAACTAAAAGTAGGGCAACAGCCAAAAAGCACGCCCATGGTATACAAGACGCCGGGCTGTGTGCATTCATCTGTTGCATTGATCAATCTTCTTCGGCACACCATCTTTAGGCAAACTTTTCATAAGGCAACCGACTTCCGTCTTTCAACATCTCCCTTTTCCAAATCAGCCAATCTTGGGGTGGGCAGATTGCGGGGAAAGTTGCCGGGGAAGAGGTGGGATCAAATGTGCCAAAGCTTTTATGGAGACTCGGGCTTCACGGCTTCACCTTTGCTTAGTCACACGGTTTCCCATGACGGTTCTTTGGTCGGGTTTGTGATGGAACATCTAGTGGAGGTATTTGGAGGCCTGATAAGCAGTGACCCTTGTTGCGTCCCGAGCCCCTACAAAGGTGGCATGTCACCTTTGTTGCCAGACAGGGCTTGTCAGAACAAGGGAGCCCTGAAATCTTGTTGTTTCCCTCCAACTTCAATTTAGGGGCGGTTCCCCAAACACGTATTCACAACAATTTCCAGCAACTGCTCAACTCCAGCCCCCCACATAAAGTCAAGCCAAGCAACCCGAAAAGGAAAAAAAAAAACATTTCCAACAGAGCTCGAAGCTCAAGGACCCCCAAACCCCTACAAGACACCTGCGGAACCACAAGAGACCTTGGCGTTCGGCGCATTTGCCCCGACCAGGCGCCGACGCGGTGGCCCACGCTGGGACGGTGTCCGCCTGTGCCAAGGCGATTGCATGGAAGCAGGCGCTGCAGCTGCTGAGGCCGGGAACTGAGATAAATTGCTAGTTTGTTGAGCCCACATTCGTCAACCTCAGGATATTCATAGGGCGGTGTTTTCTTTGGGGAATCCTTCCACCAGTGTGCCCCCCGAAGCCAGTGGGACGAATTCCGATGGCACGAGCGAGAGAGAGAGGGAGAATGTTTGGAATGGCTTAGGATGTTTCAGGACAGTGGCACTGAGAATTGTGGCAAACGCGGGCGCGCAGTGAGGTTGTGGCAAATAAGGGCCGGGTCCTCAAATTGAAGTTTGTACCCTTTGTTTGGGTTGGCTACTAGCAGGATGCTCGAAAGGATGCCCCAAATAGACCTTTTCCCCATTTGGAGACAAGTCGGCCTTTCTTCTGAATTCTTCAATCACCTGCATTCGGAAAGGCAGCTGGATTTGATTGACCTCCCTTTTGCTCCCGAAAGAGCGAGCAGGTTTTTAGCCACCGAGCAGGTTTCCATGGCGTAGCGCAACTCGGACCTTGGGAAGCCGAGGTGATACCAAAGGCCCATTTCTTGGGGAGGGGAACTTCCAGCTCTGAATCAGAAAGGGCAGAGTGGACTTCAGTAGGCTCGGAAGTGCCAGTTGCTTCCAGTTTGGTTTAAATGGTTTGTGCAGCCGCCAGTGCAGCCCCTATATCGGGGTTATGTTACTGTTCGTTTACATGGTCATGTTTACTTGGTTTTGTTTACATGGTTATCTTACTGGTTACTTACTTGGTTTACTTCTTTTCTTTCTTTTTTACCAGGCATTGATTGTAGCTCGCCTCAGGCCGGAAGTCGGGGAGTGGCTGCTTGAGCCGATGGCGCCGGCGGCCCTCACAGTGGCCATCGCGGCTTGCGACCGCGCGAGTCTGTGGCAAGAAGCGCCTGGGCTTGGGTTTCCACTCCCCAGCCACCCTGAAGGGAAATGTGGGGGGGGGGGATGGGGGGTGGGGGATGGGGGGGAAACCCTGAAATGAAATGTGGGGTGGGGATGGGGGGGATGGGGGGGGGGGATGGAACCTCTGATTTTTGCCACTATGAAAGTGGGTGGAATGTGCAACTTTGCCCTCAGAGTCTTGATTTGGTCCTTGCGGGGTTGCCGTCTAACATGGCAGAAAGGCACACTTTCCGAAATGCGAGCAATTTTAGGGCTGCTCAATGTAGAGGCGCGCCTCCTTTTTTACAAGACTTTTCGGCCCTTGCTGAGGCACTGGCTGTGTACACGGTGTCTTGGCTGAGCAGTGGAAGTGATCATGCTTCAGTGTTTGACCAGAACCTAGTACCTGACAGCACTACAAGGCTTTCACAGGGGTCTTGCGACCTTCACCATGGGTAGTTGCTTTCTATTTCCGTTGTGCGCAAAATCCAAGACACTGACCGACTTATTGGTGCCAATGTCCTTGGGCTTGTTCAGTAATTATGCAACTTTTTCCGGGGGCTGGACGTCCATGCAACATCGATGTGAGGCACCAAGCAAAATGTGCCATTCGTATGGCTCTGCGCAACGGTCACGCGTTGCCGTGGCCAATGGCTTTTGATTTCCAGGTGCTCTTGGCCGCCGCTGCTCTTATTCTGCCGTACAAGTTGTTCATTGATTGCAATTACATTCTTGGATTGAATTCTTGCCTCGTGCGGGTTCTGAGGATATGCCGAATCGCAAGATGGCCGCAGCCTGAGTATGGCGCGCATTGAGCTCGCCCGATCGAGATGGAATAACAGTTGAGCGGTCCGCCCAAAGGAGATGTCTGGACCGTCCCTGGGTTGCAAGCTGGGAAATGATGTTTCTGTCAACAAGCTGTTTTCCGGTTGCCGTGTTTTTGTTTCCACGCTGCCCTTCTTGCAACAGCTGAACAGCCTTGAACAAAGCACGACCAACTTTAGAGTAGATTGACATTTATCCCTGCAAGCTTTGTTAGCCGCAACGGACATGGCTTTCCAACTTTGGCACGTTCCCTTGTCTCACCACGCAGTAAATGGAGGCATTTCTGTGTGTGTGGACCGAACAACGAACATCAGCATGGAGCGCAAGAACTAGTCCTCGAAGGTGCCTTGTTTCACCCTTGTGGGTCCCGTATTAGACGCAGCCATTTGACCCATCCCCTTTTCCTTACAGTCTGTTGCGGTGCAGGATCCTTGCAACCTGTGGATGGCCGTTAAGGGGAAGCCAACAGGAAGCCCTCTCTTTGAGGTCCCCAAGTGTATCGCATTTGGCGCAGGACAACAGGTTTGGGGTCGGGAGAGTGCCAGGGCCCCGATATGGCCATTAGGATTACCCAGCTTCAAGGAAGCACCCTTTGGCTGGCTTTCAAGAGGAAATATCAATTAGCAAGAAGGCTGCTCTTTGCCTAAGGTTCCGTTTGCCATTTTCAGGAGGGTCAACTGGTGCTACACCATGACCTGACCTGAGAGAACGGGCGCCTTTTGTGGGTTCGTAGGGTTCCCCATGTTGACACGCCGCCCATATTAATGGGTAAGCACTGTATTCCTGCGAGGTGCCTAGCCTCGCATCCCTGAACTCGGCCCTCAGCGCGTGCAGCCGCTGCAGTGAGTGGGAGCAGGCCTTGGCGGCGCCTCGAAAGCAAAGATCGCGTTCAGTTCTGCTTTCCTTCGGTCTTTCGTGAGATTTCAATTTGAGCCGGGCAATCTCGGAAAGCGCACAAACACATCCATGGTTGTGTGCGTGGTTGTGTGTGTGTGTGTGGGTGTGGGTGTGGGTGTAGGTGTAGGGTGCTTGATTTGGGTTGGTTGGTTGGACAGGAAGCCAGGAGGAAACCCAGCTTTTGTTGGGTCACGTGTTTAGACGCAAGGAGCTGGCAAGCGCTCTGTCCTTGTCAAGCGGATCTTGGAATGGTGGGCATTTGCCAGATGTGAAGCCCACCTCGGAAACACCACAAGAAAGAGACCTGGAAAAGGGTCCCCAAAGTCAAATGCTCGTGAGCCCGGGCTTCATGGCTTGGATTGGTGCGTGTTTGCTTCAGCCACTTGGGTCCGAATTGTATGTAGGCACTCAGCCTGCGAAATTCTGCTACCTCCGTCCCATGTATACAAATGGCATAGATCTTAACAGTGAGTAGATAGAATTGGGCACGCCCTCACCCACAAACAAACAGACACTATTCTTGTCGTTCCCTTCGTTCGTTCGGGTCGGTTAACGTGACATGCTCCAAATCACCGTTTTACATTGGTTTAAAGCGAAATGCTCAAAAGTAGTTTGACAAGCCCTTACATTGCAGCCACTTTCAGGGTTTCCTCCATTTCCCTTCTTCCCAACCGGAAGGGGTTCAATTTGGATGGTCCCCGCTGCACACTCTGTAGGCGCTGTCTGATATGCCGGACAGCCATGAACCTTTTCACCTGCTGCGGATGAACATTGCCCAATTTTCGGGGCCTTTTTGGAGCCTCCACAAGTGATTTTCCATAGCCACTTTCAGGGTTTCCTCCATTTCCCCAAAAGGTGAAGGGGTTAATTTCTGAACCCCCAAAAGGGTTTCCTCCATTCCCCTTTTTTGAACCCCCAAAAGGTGACGAACTTTTTTCCGTGGAAAGGCCGCCAGCCAGTTGCAGCCGAGGTTCGGGCCACCGCTCCGAGCTCCGATCTGGTCACCTCCGGCCTGCTGGTGCGAACCTTGCCGGGCTCCCCCCATTGGTTTGTTGGGGGTACCCAATGCCTTGTTTTTGTGCGGTGTATTATGGGGGCCTCAAGAAGTAGAGGAGGCGGGATACTCCAAGACCAAATTTAGCTATCATAGGACCCGTTTCTACTCTGCATCGCCAGACATTGCGTGCCGTTTTGACGTCGTGCCCCGGTTCCTTGGTTTCAACCAGCACACAGTTATTCTGGTCAGTTGTGTTGCTTGGTGAACTGACAAGTTCGGCCCGTGGACAAGAGCATGGACACCTAAATCCTGAAATGGACAAAAGCAGCAGCCTTTCATTTGTCTATGAAGGTAAGTTGCGTGGAGTCCAAACCAAGGGTGGGGCTTGTGGTAGTTCTATTCCCTTTTTTGAGGCCAGAATCTGACCTGGGCACTGCCCTGTTTGTTGCCAAGGAGCCATGGAAAGGGCAGGCGCGGTTCGGGAGTTCAGGGCGGACATTTTGAATCAGACTCTGGGGACTGGTTGCCTTAAATCTGACCGAGAGTTGTTTTTTGTTTGTTTTTTCATGGAGGTTGCCGCCCTTCCTGAACATGCGGCAGAAAAAGTCAAGTGTGAAAGTTTTGAAAGTTGGAGAAGTTCGCTTTCATGCATTGATCCTGATGGCATCGCCGGAATTCGTGTGGGCATCCGTGTGCGGGGTGAATTGAGATGTGATCACCCCCATTTTGTGGACTTAATTCTGTGCAGTCCTGGATGGACAGACAGATTCGCAAGCAAATCGCAACAGGCATTTCATGTCATGTTGAGCAATGATACCGCCGGATGACTTTTGCTGGGGCTTATGAGTGCTTTTGCACACGCGTCAGGTGCCAATTAGAATTGGCTGCAAAAGTGAGGCTGCTGGATTTTCTCAACAACTAGGTCCTCCAGTAGAGAGGGTAGAATAAGGGTGCCCTTTTTTTGTAGTCTATTTGAGTAGTTGAACCCTTCCCGAAAAAGGGTCAAAGGGCACTAGTGGGGGACCTAGAAGAAGACACCCACATCTCCGTTTCGCCCATAGCTCCATCTGAGCAGCCCCACTTGGCGCGCCAGCCGCAGGCCGCTGGGCACTCGGCCTGGCACTCTTCGAATCCCAAGCCGTGGAAAAGGGCTTGGGCCTCAGCTCCTGGGTTTCCCAGATTTTGTGATTGGCGACTAGATCGGGCTACCCTTGGGTTTGGTTTGGGTGTTTTTTTTTTACGGACCCCGAAAGTGGGGCACCTGGAAAAAACGACAGAGGGGATCGGGCCAAGAATTGTGCTATGAACCACTCGACCGTCCTCTTCCCGAAGCAGTTGCTTTGAACGTCAGCCACATGCAATGAGGCAAGGGGCGGGGGGGGGGTTGGTCCCACGGGATGAAGCCAGTACTTGGCCGTCTTGGGTACACCAAAAAGTGAACAAAACAGTTTCTGGCCAATTCTGAGTCTACTCAGCTTACCTCTAATTGGTGGTTCGGTTAAGGAGGGGGGTTCCCATGTACCTTCTACGATTGCGACAAAGGGTGTCCCTTCTTCCCATGACTAGAGGGCCACTAGGACCCTGGACACTTTTCAGGTTGAGAAATTTGCAAGCGACACCTGGGACCTGTCGAGCTCACTTTGCTGGCAGTTGAGCTCATGCCGATTTGCGAGCTCCATCTGCCAATCCTTTGCAAAAACACTTACACATCTTTAGCCGCTGACCCAGTGACCAAACAAATCCACCAAGCCGACCAATTTCCACCTCCCCCAGTAGTGCCCTTTCTCTCCCCTTTTGGAGGGAGGGTTCCCCTAAAATAGACTACCGGAAAAAAATAGGGTACCAACTTCCAACACCTCTGCTTTTGGGGCCTTCTCCCCTCCCCATTAAATCGCTGCGTCGAACAGACACTGTGCGCTATCGTCTCAAATCTGGAGGACCTAGACCCAACGCCGGCCCAAGCAAATCCACCAAGCCGACCAACATGTTGCCCAAATTCCGGCCAGAAGTTCCGCCGGTCTGCGATTTCCCAAGGCACGGTGGCCTTTACCGCGGCCATCTCCTGCTGCGCCTTGGGCCGCCGCTGGCAGCAGGCCTTGGCCATCCTGCGGCGCATGCCCGCGCAGCAGGCGTGGTTTGCCCTAGGGAAGCCGCGAAAAGCGGCGTCCCAAACGACGCCCCAAAAGACGACGCCGTTTTCTTGGGCGTCCCCAAAAGTTGTTGTGTTTTTGTGCCGGTCGAAAAGAAGGCCATCTTTTTGCTGGCAGGGGTAGAGGTTTTTGCGGTAAGGCGCAGGTGGTTTTTGGAGGCGTCCTGTAAGGCAACCTGGAAAGACATACCCAATTGTGTCCAGCCCTCCCAGTCCCTTTTTGGGCTACAAACAAGGGTGAGCACTCAAAAGAGTGCCGGTTTCCATGGTCAGAGTGCCGGTTTCCATGGTCACTGGACAACTGGGCAGATTGTGGGGGTTTCCCTGTGACGCGGATCACGAGTCACTAAGCTCAAGGCTTGCCCACCAAAGAACCCTGGGCAAGTGCTCGTCTCTTTTCAGGGCATCCGATGCCACTACCCTGCTTTCTCCAAGATCTTCAGTCAAGATTTCCTGCGCCAAAAGTCCAAGTCGCTGTTGCGCGAAACAGGGTTCCAAGCAGGTTACAGAGTTCATCACCACCCCCTTCATCCTTGATTCGGGGGTGGGGGCGTAATTTTACATTTTCAGGTCCCCCCCCTTAGGGCCTTAGGGGTGTGGTGATGTAGGGTTCCTGCACCACAGGTTCCATAGTCGTTGGTCTTCGGCGATCCTCTCTTTGGACGCGCGGCAGGTGCCCATGACGCGCAGCACCAAAAACGCCGTGCTGTCCGGGCAGCCCAGCATGTCACAGCAGCGATCAAGCCAATGCGTGTGGTTAACTTGGTCGCTCCCAGCCATCCGGTTCAAAAAGTGTTTTGGCTTTTTAGTGTTTTATGGGGATTTCTTAGCTTTTGTTTTTCTCTTGTGAGGGTACCGCGGCTTGCTGTTTCGAGGGTTCATACAGTCTTGCGCTTGACCAGTCGCAACCTCTCGGCGACAGGCTTGCCCATTTTTCAGGGCCCCGGGCCGCCGCGCGCCGCGCGCCGCGCGGGCGGAGCCATGACTCTGGCGCTGGCTGTTTTCGCCATGGCGGCCACTGCCGAGGGGGCGTGGTACGACGGCATCCCGTCCGTGCGGGTGTTTGGCCCTGCGGACGCCGAGCTGGCCCAAGGCGCTTGGGCGCTTTCTCGGATGGAGCATCCGCGAAACTGGCACAAAACAGGGGTAAATGTATATTGATGTGGAGACTATATGTGGGGCCAACAACATACGTTGCAGCACAGGGCTTATTCACTTTCCGGGTTTCAAGGGTAGTCAATTCCCCTCTTAGATGCCCGCAACCAGGATCCAGGAGCGCACCGGTTTGTTTGGTTGGTTGGTTAGTTGATTGGCTTAGTTGATTGGCTTCTTTGTTTGCTTGTTGCTTGGTTGGTGGTTCGTGGTTGGTTGGCTGGTTGGCTGGCTGGCTGGCTGGTTGGTTGGTTGGTTGGTTGGTAGGTTGGTTGGTTGGTTGGTTGGCTTGATTCATGGCAAAAGTGCACCTGCATTTCTTGGGTAATGGTGGTTCGACTTGCGCTCGGCCACACACCAATGCTAGCCAAAAGAAGTGTTGCTCCGAGCCATGTCTATAGGATGATCACCCAAGGAACCTCAGGGGCACGTTCTGCACAAGACATGCCCTTGGCAAAAGGCAAAAGGGTCAAACAAAAAGGGATACTCCACGTGCGGAACCAAAAACGGTCGTCACAACCGACTCCAGGCTTCCTGGATAGCCACTACAACAAGCTGAAGATGGGGGAGTTCAGCGTGGACCGCCTGGCTGTGCTTTTGAAGCGAGGCGCGCAGAGCCAGGGAGCCTCATTTCATGGGCTAACGTGTTCCAGCTTGCACAGCAGAATCATGCGTGTAGGATCCGCAAGTGGCCCATTTGTTGAAACTCGTGCAACGCGCATGAATACCTGGTCTGAGGAGGTCACATCTTCTTGGTTCATGACCTCACCCGAGTTGAAGGCCCCTGGCCCCGGGCATTCTTAGTTCAAATTTGGGAACCATCCTCGGCTCCTGTTGGTCGGAGATGTTTAAAGGGTGCAATACAAGGAACCCTTGTTGAGGATCGGACCCTTTCCAGTTTCGGGGGGTGTACCAGTACTCTTGTTCCAGCAATCATGGAAGTGGACAGGTCTTGCCCGCAAGGAAAAGTCTTCCAACCCCCTTCTGTCAGCTTCCATGGTTGTTGGAGGCAGGCTAAATGTGATGACAGGGTTGTTCATGACAAAGACATGCAAATGATTGATAGGGCTGTTTGAAGGTTGCAGTCACAACATACAGCACCTTTCACTGGTCAACGTTTCATCAATGTCACCCGCTGGATGGTTGAAGAACAGACAATAGCCTCCAGCCGGATCAACCTTGACTCACACCACGCTTTCTGTTTTGGAAGGCATGCGCCGTGCGCTTGTTTTTTTCAAGTGGACCTTCCGTCAAGTTCCATGGGAGGGTTTCAGCCGCATTCGCGCCAATACCTGGGACTGAAACTCGGCATGTCCCGCGCCTGGGTTTGACACAGGGCCAAGATCGGAAGATGGTGCCAGCATGTGCCAGCCAACATTCTTCGACAAGCTAGTTTTTTCGCAGCATGTTGTGGCTTTCAGCCAATGGGTGGATGCATTCGGCTTGGCCTTGTGTTGGGTGGGCTATTTGTTTGCCCTGTGCGAAGTTAACGTGGGCATCAGCGACCCCTTGTTCAAAACAGACTGAGCGGAGTGGCCCTCTGGCTGTTGTGAAGCACCCGACATGGCAGGCGACTACAAAAACCTCTCCATCGGCGTCCCCTTTTACACGAGCGTGGCTGGTGTCGGCCGACTCCCGGAGGAGGTGATTGTGAGAAAGTTCTATGTGGAGATCCTTGGGCTGACAGCATTGGACTTGTACGGAGGCTTTTATCAGCGCTAGGCGTGTACCTTTTTTTGCATACATCTACCATTTGCCCGTGTTGAATGGCACCAGTCCTGACCATTTGGCATTTTTCGGGGGAGTATCATCTCCCGTCTTGCTGGGATAAGGCGGGCCGGCTCCTTCTTTCTTATGGAACTCTGTTTGGGATCTAAAACTGCGCGCGACCAAGCACATGTTCAGGTTTTGGTGAATGCCAGGCATCATTTTGGCACCCAGAACGCAAGCACCGGGTGCTGAATCTACGGGCGCCGTATAGTTGTCACTGTCCTACCAAGGAACCTGCAAGGAGGATGGTGCTTTGAGTTTGCCACCCTTGTACGGTTGGTTTGCCCAGTCCGCCGTCCGTTGTTGCCTTTGCTTGCTTTGGTGCAGGGTGGTTACACCAAGCTTGTGAGCCATTATCTCGACCGCCGGACAGATCGGGTCACCATGCAGGTTACATCTTCCATTCAAAGAAAGCCCTGTGGGCCAAGCGAATCGACAAACTCTCTCAAACATTCCAGCTTTGATTCATTTTAGTTAGGGCAATTCGGCCCTTAGCTAACTTGCAAGCACTTTAGCTAAGAACAACCCTAGTCGTTCCAGCTTAGCTTTGATTCACTTGTTGATTCAGCATATTTTCCTTAGGCCGTTCGGTTTCGTAAGCTGCAGCTCAGGAGCCGCTTGTCATCGAAAACGGGCGGCGCAACGAAGACGTTCTGGCGCTCCGTGGAAGGCTCTTTGCGACGCCGGCGGCTTGCAAAGAGCCGGTTACTGGAATCCCTGTTCCATTGACTCAGATCAGTTTTGAAACACATTCAAAACATATGATTTATAAAACAATATTTATAAACAAATCTTATCTAGGAAAACACATTTAATGGTGGTCTGCAAGTTGTTCAGTGCCTGCCTTTTGTCTCGTTATTTTTTGAGCATTGAATATTGAGTAGAAATGCCGGACATTTTGCGAGGGAGCCCATCTTATACTCCGATGTGGCGTTTTACTGAGTGGATGCATCCACACCATCTACAGGTTGCAGTGAAGCGCGGTGCATGATGCACCGCGCTTCACTGCAACCTGTAAGCACAGCTGGCGACACGCTGGGGCAAGTGTCACGCACCCCTGAGCCTACACCCTTGGGTTGCATGCCATTTTGCTTTTTGGCTCTATGCGGCCTTCAGCAACCTCGATGTAATTTTGCATCTACAAGCCAAACAATCTGGAGCACCTAGCCCGGGGCGTGCAACGCCCGGCACGCCTCCGCGGACCTGGCAATGGCCCTTGAACTTGGCCCTGTGGGTTTTTGTTGCTGGCGCCCCCATAGGCGTGTCTCTTGAGGGTGCCCACTTCGGGGTTGTTTTGAGGGCACTTGTCGAGACCAATCGGTTCGGAGCCGGTCCTCCTGGTTTTTTGCAACGGCGACCCAAAGTTGCGGGAGTCGGATGTGAAATGTGTTTGTTTGGTTTTTGCTGCTTAATTTCCGCGCAAAAGGGCACCCCACTTCACCTACCGGCAAGGAGATGCCCTGTAAGCTCATGCAAGGCCCCGATGCCACGCCGCAAAAGCTAGAGGCCTACCGGATGCTTAGTTTCATCCTAACTGGGGGCGCGTACGTGAGTACCACAATGCAGCCCTAGTCCATTTTGCTAGTGGCTCACTTGGCGCAGTTTACCGCTGGTTTCAACGCGGCTTAAAGAACTCATTTCAGAGGCTTGCCATGCATGACATCAGATTAGTATGCAGTATGCCTTTTGAAACTCGCAAGCTTGTATGCATACCAGGCACTCATTCAAACCACTACCTCCCTCCTCCCCTGAGCTGGACAACTATATACAGCAAATACCTTGCCTTTACATAAGTGGCTATACATATTATATATAGTACACATCTAGTGGCGTCAGTGGTGCATCAATCCTGAGGGGACATTGATTTGCGTCTCTCCTCTAGGTGTTTGGGGAATCCAACGCCACAAGATACAAGTCTGTGTGTTCACGGCATGCCGAGCTTGGCATGTGCCAAAATTATAGTATTCCCTTTGCTTCAATTTTCACCACTCCGTTTGTTTGTGAACTTTGCATGTGGAGTGCCCACGTGTTCACATCACCCGTACTGTGGATGGACGACCTGGAATGATGAATTCCTCTGCAACTAGGCCCCCAGTAGCGCCCTTTTACCCTTTTTTTTGGGAGGGTTCCCCTAGAATAGACTACAGAAACAAAAGATCGGGTACCAACCTATTCGATCATCTCAAATCTGGAGGACCCCCTACAAACACCCCAAACGAATTCCGGGCATGATGACCCTACAAATACCCCAAACTGACCATGACATCATGGCATTTCCCTCGGTTTCCTTCCGTGCGACCTCCCGCTTGGGGCAGGCCTCCTGGCGCGGGAGACCTCCTTATGGGCCACCTCCCAGGCCTGCCCCATGCGGCGCTGCATCCCGGCGAGCGCCACTTTTTTGGCGGGCGGCTGAGCCCAAAGCCAACCCCAACCCGTTGGTGTCCCTCATTTCGTTTAGGAACCGATGTGTTGAATCTGGTCCACAGGTAGCTTGTTCACCTGTTGGTTTCCCGCTTTTAGTCCATAGTCCCCCTTATTAATCTCTTGGTTTCCCTGGTTTCGTCCACAAGTAGACTATTAACCTGTTGGTTTCCCACAGGTAGTTTATTGACCTGTCAACCCATGGCGGTTGTTGGGAAACATTTTTTACATTCTTGCTTATTGTGGTTTAGTAGTTGAAATCCAACCACTGAACTGCTGGAAGTTAAATGTTTGCTGCCCTCCCAACGTCAACCAAGAACCCGTTGCTTTCCCTCATGTAGTCCATAGTCCCCTGTAACCTCTTGGTTTCCCTAATTTAGTCCACAAGTAGACTATTAACCTGTTGGTTTCCCAATTTCGTCCATAGGTAGTTGATTAACCTGTTGAACTGTTGGCTTCCCGGTTTTAGTCCATAGTCCCTATGTAGTCGAGGTTCCACAACGGTGAGCCTTGTATTGTTTTCCAGGCCTTTTGGGCAACTGAGTTGGTGTGTGAGCGGCGGCCCGTTGAGGTCTTTTTGAATAATGCCGCCGGTACGCCGGTACGTGCCGCCTTTTAACTGTTGACCTTTCCATGGCCTCCGTTTGCCATGCTTATGAAAGGACTACGGTTGTTTAGTTCCATGACCTTTGGGCAGGTGTGTTGAATTAGTAGGGAACCATGGGAAAACAAGGTGGACATGTGAAAATCGTCTCCTTCAGCCCTTGGCTAGGGATAGCAAGCCAAGCTAGTTTGCATGTGAAGCCTTCTGGACTAGTGTTTATCCATGCTGGATTCTGTAAAGTACATCATGCTTTTGACTGCATCTGGGAGACGTTTGCGGCTTGTGTCAAAAAGTGTATCCGCAGTGTAAATTGTTTCCGCTTGCTTTCCCTTAAGCTTAAGATGCTAAGAATTGCGGTTATAGCGCGCTCGACCTGGATAGCAGCATTTCCGCAAATCGTCCAGCTGCCTCAGAATTGGTAGACGAGCCCCAGAATGGCAGCACGTGCGCATGTAGAGCTTTCTGCAAGCAAGGGGTTCCCTGTACAGAAAGGAGGTTGCTCTTGAGAATCGGATGTATCTAGTTTGCTTCTATAGTTCGTCCTTCCCCCACAAAACTCCTCCAAACATGGGCGGGTTTGGTTTCGTGTTCCATGCCAACCTGAAGGAGGGCAAACTGTTTGTGCGAAATCTCGGCCAAGGCATCCTACAGGGCGACCTGCTTCTGTCCTCGACTTTTGGGAGCCTGGGCAAGCGGAAGCGGTGAGGGGAAACTGGGAGCCATTTCAAAGATCAAGTGGGTAACATAGCTCAAGCAATTCTTTGGCCCTGCTCGGAGGTAGGCACTGTTTGGCACCTTGCTAGAGCGTGTGGCCTGCGGGTACAGGACTCGTGTGGCTTTTGCGGGCAAATCGTTTCTTGTCTGTTCAGACCAAAAAGCGATGACAGGAGGTGTCCGTCCCTTGTGAGAGGAGGTGTCCCTTGTGACACTGGTTGCAACTTAAAGGTATCACAGAGGCATCCCGAAGGTTAGCCATAAGCATAGAGTCAAACAAATATCAACCATGCAAGCATCCATTTTCCAACAATCCCGGTTGGGGGTTTGGTCGGATTTGGTGGGGCTTGGTTGGATTTGGTGGTCGGATTTGGTGGATTTCTTCGGATTTGGTAGGATTTGGTAGGGTTTGGTAGGGTTTGGCAGGATTTGGTAGGTTGATTGGCACGGCGTCTCTTTCGCAAGGAATGAGACGGCCGAAGGCCCCAGCAGCGGGGGCTTCATCGCCGACACCCAGGTCGTCGGCAAGGCGCCCGAAAGCGAGAAACGCGTCGGCACTGGGTTCCAAATAATGGAATAGCACATGCGTGTGCCGTTTTTCGTTTTTTTGGTTTTCTCCTTTTGTTTTGTTCTTCTCACTAATCTAATGTATATATATATATACACTAATTTATATATATATATATACATATTCATTTATTTATGTGTTATGTTTGTTTTCTTTGTGTGATTGATATTTCTTGCTTTGTTTCTTAACTTATTCCTTAATTTCAGTCTTTCTGCGCTGTTTGCTTGGTTGGTATTGTTTGATTATTTGCTTCATTGGTTGTTTGGTTGGCGGTTGGTGGTTTGCTTGTTTGTTTGTGTTTGTTGGGTTTAGTTTGGTTTTGCTTGGATTTGTTTGCCTTTGTTTAGCTTGTTTGTTTCGTTTCGCTTGGTCATTCTGTCTTGATTTGTGTCTTTCTTTGTTTCTTGAGCTTGTTCTTCCTTTCGTTTGTTTGTTTGTTCGTTATTTTGTTCGTTATGTTTTTCTCTTGTTCTTTGTTTTCCTTGTTTCTGTGTGTCTGTATGTGTTTTTCTTTGCTTGTTGATCTGTGCGCGGGTTGGCTTGAAGGGGTCCCAAGAGGAAACCCACACGATGGGTATTCAGGTGTATTTGTCCTGTTTTCGCGACATAACACCAGGCCCATGAGATCGTTCAAAACCTCCCTTGGTACAAGTTCATTGCGGATGATGCCAATCAAACAACTCCGTTGGAAAGCGCTGGTCACTTCTGAGCAGTATTGTTGAGCATTTGTCACTTCCAAGTGCCCCTGCTTGCCGCAAGTCACCGATCGAATTTCCGATCCATCACTTCTTTGCGTGCCTTGAACTTGGACTCTGGCCCTGAAACACTGGCATCGCATGTTTGTGCTTTTTTTTGGGGGGGGGGGGAGTCTTTGAAGTGGGCGCTTTGTCCCCCACCCCTTGCCCTCAACGAACTCGTGAGCCGAAACCCGCCCGGTATCATCTCGCGTGGAGGTGCACCTCGGCACCCAGCAGCAGTTCTTCTTTCGGAACTGCCCCTTGGCCCGAAGCGGCTTCCGCCCAGGTGGATCTGTCAGCATGTCTCGGGGCTTGCAGGCCCATCCTGGGCTTGCAGTTCCACAGGGGGCGGCTGTTTGCTTTTTTATATTTCCAGACCCTTTGTTTGACACTCGGAATCACTGGCATGGCTGCTCCATGTGAGCAAGCCAGAATGATTCGGCCCAAGTCGCCCGGCGTCAGCGTGTTGCACGCGCCTCGACTCACCCGCAAGGCGAGCTGGGCGGCATCGTGAAAGGCAAGCTGGCCTTGAGCCCGTGCTGCAGATCTCGCGGTTAGTTGTCCTGACTTCATTCATGTCCGGGCCAGCCACAAAACGCAAAGTTTCTCAGAGAATCAAGAACAAACCATGTTTTTGTCAGGGTACGACATGTTTACAGGTTCTCGAAGCATTTCCGGGAACCACAGCTTGCGGCACGTCTGAGGAACAACGTCTACCTGGGAGTCCACGGTGCGCCGGAGGTCCCGGTTCCGAATGCACCGCAGATGGTGTCCCGGAGACCGACGGTGGACCGGGTCGCGGAGAAGCCATTTCTGACGGAGCAGGATGGCATTTGGGAGGTGGTGGCGCCTAGGAAACCGAATGGTGAATGGGTGGGGAGGAGAATTGTGCGGATGGCAGAGGGTGGAAACTACAAATCATAGTGACTCGAACAGTCTCAAGACTCTCAAGACCGGAAGCATATGGAAAGGATCACCCATCTCAAGGCGTTGGCACAAACACTCATGTTTAGTACATCATCGGCATCACACGGATTTCAGGCTGCTTGGTACCCGGGGTTTCCTACCTCACGCCACATGCCAGTGCGGCTGCTTGAAGCCCTGTATTCAAACAAGGCATGTGTACATTATATATATATATATACGTATGTGTATGTGATACAAATATATATATATATATATATATTATATTGTTGCGCTCGCGAATACTTCCAAGGTACCAGATGTGGCAGAAGACACAGCTGGAAGATACAGCGGCAGCAGTATCTCCATCCCTATTGAGGATATGCCCCCTGGCTTTGCTGGTCAGCATGAGTTTTGAAACTGAGGTTTTTGTTGGCAATGCCTCGAAACATGAACATTGAACACAGCCCTCCTTGAAGACAGCTTGCATTTTCTCATGACCCGGTATCCCACATTTCTTACTTCTGGGGGGATTTCCCAAGCGTTTGACGTGAGCGCAGAGCTAGCAGGTACGTGGCAAAGGAGGGAGACACTGCAGCAACCATCAACGTGCCTTGGTCGTTCGGAGAAGTTGCAGGGAGAAGCACGCGTAATAACGTGAACGTCAGGATCAAGAATGGGACTGAGTACATGCTCGACTGTTGATATTTCCATTTGACGTCCATTTGTGGCAGCCATTCCATGTCTGTTTCCACTTGAATTGAGGCTTTCTATAGTTGCAAATTGAGAATATTCACCACGCCAACTAACCGAAGGCAATTTGAGGTGATCTCCTGAGTAGAGGGGCAGCTGTTTGTTCCTTGCTGCGCAGTTGATGGCCATAACGCCTAGGAGGAGAATGTTTCATCACTGCGTGAAGGATGACCATACAAAGCAAACTTGCTTGGCAACGTCAACCTCGTATTAATGCGCATCGGCGAGAAATGGGTACGTGTTTTAAGGGTCCACTCTTCCGAGGGACCCCCCACGAACCAAAGAGGGGTTTATCAATCCTGGGTTTCAGTTGTCCAGTGGGCCGCTTTTCCTTTTGACACAGCTTTCCTTTTCCACTTGGCAAGTCTGTATGTCAATTCTTGGAGTATGACACGTTTTGGCCTGCTGGCTGTTTCACAGGGTGCTCCTTAATTGGCCCAATGCATATGCAGGAAGCAGAATCCCGCACTCTTTTCCCCAAGACCAACCACTGACCCCCATCTCAAGATCAGCCAACGAAAGGCTTCTCACTCCAACTGCAAGCCAGGCCGGCATCATCCCGAAGCGGGGCTTGCTGCTCACCCCGGGCATCTACGAGCTCTCCACGCCCATCGTCATCATGAACCCCGGCTTCGTGGTCCTCGGCCTGGGCTTCCCCACCTTGGTGGCCATGGCAGCGGCCTCAAGCTCTGAATTGTTCGGATCTTCGGATTCGCCTGGGTTCGAGTGGTCCATTTGGGGGTGAATTTTTATAGGGGGGCCTGCCTGGGTTCAAGTGGGCCTCCATTTAATTTGGGGGTGAACTTTAGTGGACATCATTTACGTGGGTGATTGGTGCCCACCAACCACTTGGAGGTGGTTTCCCTTTTGGAAATTCATAGCCATTTGATGCCTTTCGTGATGTCTCCAGGACTGGATTGGTTGAAGAAGCCGAAAAAGCAGGGTTTTCCTGCGTTGGCTTCTGGGCAAATGAGGCGACCAGGTTTCCCACGAAGCTCTATGCGGCGCTGTTTGCATGAATTCGTGTCATGGACAAGATGCATAGAAGCTGTTGTGGCATGTACTTTATCATGTGGCTAATCGCACCTGATACCCTCCCGCCTTGGAACCCACGAAAGATTCCCGGAGAATCGTGCAAAACCGGGACCCTGCAGTTGAGCTTGCCATAGGCCACTTCAGATCGGATGGATATGAGGCAGACCAGCCAGCCATCCTGCAGCTGGCGGAGAACGTGCGGGTGGCCAGCGTCCCTTGTTCAGCACAGTGTTGCTTCGTTTTGTTCAGTTGCGTCAAGCATTGCAACATTGTTGTTGGTTTTTGTGGTTGCTTGTTTGCTTGCTTGTTTAAATTGGATTGAGCCACACTTTGGCAACAATGTGGTGTTCTGTGTGTTTGCGTGCGTGATTTTTCCTTTCGGCCAGCAATGAATCGTGTTTGGATGGGATTTCTTCCGCCAGCCCTGGCCTTGCAGTCGGCCAGAAAAGGTCCTCCTGGAGGGTGGCGCCTCAGTCACGATGTACCAGGACTGAGTGAGACCTTGGACCCCTCGGCAGGCCTCCCAACACTCCCAGAGGGATGGGGGTTGTATGGCTGGAATGAAATGGGTATGAATTATTGTAAGGGACCCTTTTGTTGACATCGTTTAGGGGGCGATCTATGTCCACCAATCACTTTTGAGGTGGTTCCCTATGAACATTGTCGCCTTGAAGGGGATCTCCGAAGCATTGACTGGTCAGAGGTATCTCAGACGCCTGGCCCCAAGTTGAAACGAATTCCCGTCGAGCGGTTTTGTTGAAAGGATTTTTGTTTGTCAAGAACCCCTACTGCAAACATTTCATTCTTTAAATGGCGCATGGTTGCCATTTTGTGTGTTCTTCATTTTTCCGGTCAACCAAAAAACAAAAATCACTCAGTGAGGGTCTAAGCCTGGCCCAGCGAACCGAGAGATCGGCAGCAGCTTCGGGGTCAAGCGCAGCTTTTAAGTGGGGAGCTTGGCTGTCAAACACATGGATGGCTTGAAGCGGAGACGTGTACCGGCTTGCAAAAACCATAGGATCGCAAAGGTTGGAAGCTGAAGCCTGGCTGCCAACGAGGCCATTTCATCAGCCCAATGCAGAGCATTGGCATGTCGGTGCTTCCAGGAAACCCAGCCCCTGCTGCATTGGCGTCTTGGCAAGCCGCGGAGATGGACGGCGCATTGTTTGGTGCCACAACCCTCTTTAGGCACTTCAGTCATCTTAAGTCTCACTCTCCTTTTTCTTTCTCGAACTTTAGATTTTCTAGAAGCACACTTTTAGTAGCAAGCAGTTTGGACTTTGGCCAAGTGAGACTTTGAATTATGCACTGGAATCGACTGGAAAACCGTATTTGTTGCATCCCTAACCCTGCCAGCCTTACACGCTGAATCGCAGCGGTACGTGCCCTTAGCGTTGCAAGTGAGCCACCTACTTAAGGTGCTCATTGGTTGGCGCCCACTCTTCTTCGCCTTTTATTCATGTTTTGCTGGAATCCATCTTTGACACACACCCCGGCTAGGTCAGGTGCCCTTGGTGTGGCCTCGGACATTTTCGCGCGGGTGGGGTCCTTCAACTACAGCACTGCCTTCCTCTTGCCCTGCCAGGCCGGGGGGGGGGGGTTCAGGGTGGGGCAAGGGCGCGGATGCAAGATGAGCTGGTGTCGTCTTTCTTGGATCCAAAGTGGTTGCATCTTCGGGGCTCTCAATATTTTTTTTACTTTTGGGGCTCACTTCAGTGGACCATAGTGGACCCAGCCTTACGCCTTACGGGTCAGTTGCAGCTCGTGCTGCGTGCTGATATCTTGTTTTCACCCCAGATAGGCGCGCTCGTGCACCCTCTGTTGGTGGGGTTTCCCGTGGTTCAACAGCAGTCTGTCTCATGGCGAGGTCGCGCGGCCTCGCACGCATAGAAATAGCTTAGACTCGGCAATGCTTCCTTTCGTAAAGAAAGGAATAGAACCAGCAGAAAGCCATTGCCATGTGGCGAGCGATTTGCGCATGGTTGCCGGTGGGATTTATGTGAGCGTGTCCTTGCCTGAGCTCTCAGAATTGAGAGCTACGGGCAGGCGGTCCGAGGGAGAGGGGCGCCAGGAGTACCCTAGACGGCTTGGGGTGAAAATTGTTTTCTCCTTGCAATGTACGTGGTTTCACTACCAGACCCTTGAACATAAGGGTAAGACTCGTTGCCACCTAATCAACCGGTTGCCTTGTGATGACCTTGGAGTAACCCCAACAAAAGGTGCCATGTGCCAAGGGAATGCACCGTTTGCAAAGGGCGCGCCTGTCAGTACCCGAGCTTCCCGCAGCTCTCACGCGGCCTACCTCCTCAGTCAGCATCAGTCTTGCGGTAGTGATTGTTGAGGCGATCCGCTGACAGCCCATTGAGAGGGCAGGGTCGGTAAAGAAATTTCACGAACATACAGGGTGCGAAGACCTTCAAGCCGGTTGTTTTTTCCGTCAACTGGTTTCGCATTTGCTGACCGAGTACTGTCAAGGATAAGAGAGGCACTGGCACACGCTTGTTCTTTTTGTGTATATATATATATATTATATATATATATTCCCCAAGCTCGGGGGTATAATTTTGAATACGTGTGTACTTCCTCCGGCCCTGAAGGAAGTCAACAGCCCTATTGCTCGCTTTCCCCGGAACCCGCGCGCCAAGCGGTCTTAGGGCCGCATCGCCAGCATTTTCGTCCAAGTGGAGGGCATCGGCGTGGTGCTTGCGCCTTGGCGCTGCGCTCGCCGCCACGCCAAATCGTGGCGTAGAGTTACGGTTTACTTGCAATTTTTCACGGAAATGAACGGGACAGTGAGTGAGTCTCCAGGAAATAGGTGATAGACGGTGAGGGTTCTCGGAGCTCTACCATCCCATTGGGTTTTTGCATCACATTGGGTTTTTAATCGAGTTTTGATGGGTTTGTGGTCAACAATTAAAAATCCAGAGAAGATTGCCCCAAATTAAGGGAGTTCTTCAGATCCTAAGCCTTACAACAAAGAATAATTCCAACAATAAAACATATGGCATAAACTAATTCTAAAGTTGGAGGTTATTCCTGGTCTTTACGAAAGGACTGTTTCACGCCGTGACATACTATGACGCAGCAATTTTAAAGCCTCTTGAAGCCACAGTTGCGACGGCACAAAAGCAGCCCACCTGATACGGGCAGGATCCTGTGCCGAAGCGGAGCACGGAGTTAGCTCTAACTTGGCCGCATTGCACCGTGGGCTTTGGGTTTGCTGGAATGCCATCCTGACATAAATACACAAAAAACAAATATGTGTGTATATGTGTGTATTATATATATGTATATATATATATATATATGCTAGGGGGGGGGGGGTCACGATAGGTTCACGGTCAGATCCCGTCTCCATCTAGAGCTGAGCCGGAATTGATGTCCTCCTGGACTCACTGGAAGAAAGGAGGCCCCTTTTGGCTTTCCATGCCCCACTGAGCATTCCACGCTGTTCGACTTTCGGACATGGGTATTTCATTTACACTCAAGGTTAGCACATGGGCGACTGGATGGGACAAACACTTTCTCAAACGCACTGGGAAGTGCATGCAGACAGTTCCTCCTCATCACTTTGTGATATATTTAAAATTTGTTCAAGCGCTTGTTGGTCAAACGCGATGCCACCAATTGTCCATGAATCTCTTAGCCTTTGCTTGCCAGACAGGGAGGGAATATACACTCAACCTAGGCGAAACTGAGCCTGGTGTTGCTCAGTGTACCATGGTCCCGTCTTTGCCAATTGGTTCACTGCACAAAAACAAACAACATAAATCACCACAATAGTCACACCCCAAACGAGTAGTCAGCAAACAGAAGTGCAAGAAGATAAACCGTTCATCTGAGGTTTCACTTGCATACACGTGCTGTCAGACAAACATCAACTTGGATGAGATAGGGATTCCCCTTGCTTGCAGCCTGGGTACCCTGCTTTTCCACATTTATGGGGCAAAACGCCCCACCTCCAGTGGTCCAGCTACGGCGTTAGGACCACGCCTGGCTCTGGCACGCGGACCACGACGACTGCTCGGCGAGATGGCCGAACAGCGTTTCTGCCACCACCTGCAAGTCCAGCAATGCCTTGGTGGTCACAGGCCCCGACGTGCACCTCGGACGGATGTAGTGACGTGGGGTTTCCAGGCCACAGAAAGGCCTCTCTCACCGCATGGACGCCACCTGAGATTGGGGGCCACGGAGATTGCGGTATTCAAGTTGGCCTTTAAGGGAGCTAAGGAGCTACAAGGAGTTCGTATGGATATTGTAGACATGTTCAGGGCGTTTGCTTTTGGGCGGAGGCCTGTGCAATGAGGTTAGAACTGCGCAATGGTTAGAACTTTACAATTGTGCGTCGTGGTTGGAACAGGAACTAGGTCCCCCAGTAGAGCCCTGTTACCTTTTTTTGGGGGAGGGTTCCCCTACTAACATAGATCACAGAAAAAAGGATACCCTTACCTCTCTACTGGAGGACCTAGGGAACTTGCAACAATTATTGTCATTCACCGGTACGTTTGCTCATCAGCATCGCGACCAGACAAGGCCAGTTTTCGAAGTCTTTGAGCATTCTTTCCGACGATTTGCGAATGGGTTATACTGAATTGGATATGACTGACATGTGCTGGCCAGTTTGCGGCACTCGCATGTTACTTGGGACGAGCATCAACGCCGATTCAGTGTGGAAAACACACGCGTGGCTCAGGATCGCATACTGCCTTCAAGCCGAGCACACCTTCAAGGATCAAGTTCTCTGGCTGGGCGAGAATGGCAAGTTGTTCTTCTACCAGAATGAGCTTCCTTACATCAGCCCATATCCAGGCGGGCAAGGATATGTGCAAGAACAATTGATCTAGGCACGAAGAAGAGGCCTTTAGCCGCGACACTCTGATACTCCTTCATACCCGTGGGGTGCCTCCTTTGCCACTTGCACGTTCCTCGACTCCAAGGGGCAATCATACACTCATTCACTCATTGGCCCAGTGTTTGCTACGGTTGTTCGCACTTCCTGGTGTTCTTGCGCTGATTGTTGGCTATCCCACTTTTCACGCATTTCTCTCCATGTTCATTTGGCTGGTATGGGGCAACTGGGCGGTTATCAAATTGATAGACTCCTTGTGTCCATTGAAAGGCGGGCCCCATGGATGAAGCCAGCGAAGACAATTCGTTCACATGTGTCAGAGGCATCCTCCGGTGAGTTCCTTTTACTTCGAACCTCTTGTGCTGGTACTAGAAAAAGATGCGAGGGGCTTCTCCTGTGCTCCTGACTTCTACAGGTTCTAGGTCTCCTTCCTGAAAAAGGGCGAGGGGGTTGCTTCTCCTGTTCTCACCTGAAGCCCTCCCCACCCCCATCTCAGGGGACCTCTTCGGGCGGCGCTACGCCAGCTACCGGGTGTCTCCCTTTGTTTTGAAGCACCTGGCGGTGGGCCTGGGGAGCTACAGCATCAGCATCCCGCAACTTGACATCACCTGAGCTTCCATTTGCTGAATAATATGTGTTTTATGTTCCCGTGTTGGTTTTGCAAAAAGGAATTTATCACTACTGGACATATTTTCTTTTTTTTCCAGGGGTCTTAACCAAATGGAAGTGAGGTGATCGAAAAATGCGGCCTCCGGCCACGAAGAGCCCGAAGGGCTTTCATCCAAAGAGCTTGGCTGGTGGCTTGCGATTGCTTGCGGATGTAGGTGCATCTGCATACTTACCTCTTAAAAACACAACTTTTCAACTTTTTGGGTAACATGGGCTATATGTCTGTAAAAGATTAACTTCCCCAGGGCTTGGGGGTAAGCATATAGATTCCCTTGGCCGCTCTTGGCTTGATCCTTACTCTTTCAACATATCTCCAAGTTTCCGTGGCATGCAAGCCAACCAGAGGTGAGTAGGGTCATTCAGACCCATTTCGCGCTTGCCGCGGCTTGCCGCGCCTTGCCCGGGCCCAGGGGATACAGCTACGTGGCCAACGTCTCAGCCTTTCTGTACCCCGAGGCTGCGCAGCTGCAAAACGCGGCCCGGCGGAAAATGACGCAGGGGCAGTCCCAACTTAGAACGAGAGATAGCGAGGCGATGGGTGAATTTGGTTGAATGACAGGGATCCTCATAGGGGCAAGGTGTTGAGAGATGATGATAGGGGTCCCAAGTCCCGTTGGGAATGTGGCGCGCTTACCGATTTGGGGTGGGGGGGGGAACGAGCTAGGATGTATGCCCTTTGCTTGCAGAAAATGGTATTGCAGAGCCATGTGTGTTCCTGCCTTCTGGTTGGGCTGCCAAGAAGGATTCGGAAATTCGGGCTTCTCCCCCCCCCTCGCCCATTTTGAACAACGTTTCAGGTTATGGTTTGGCACATCACCAGCGACAACCGGACACCTTTCTTCGAGAACTTGGCCTGTACCCGGACAGGCGCCGCGGCTTCTTTCCCGGCCGCACGAACCGCTAGTTGGGTTGGGAAGATCCTTCAGACAGGGCGCGAGCAAGGTCAAGCACCCACTTGGGGAAAAACCGTAAGGAATGCCAATCATGCAGAGGTGTTGCTGGATTTGCCCGACCATCAGCCAAAGGAGAACTCCTGATTCCCTGCTGCCGTGAAGCAGGGCGTCATTCTGGGCAATCCGGCCAAGGTGTGTCCATCATATTCCTTCTTGGGCAGCCAAACGAAGCTGGCTTTGCTGTTTGGAAACACGTTCATGCCTACAAAACACCAGAATTGACCAGAAGGATTGGGGACAGAAGCTGAAGCAATGGGGGGCCGCTAGTCGTTACCAATGTGGGCGTGGCTCAAAACTAGAAAGCTAGGGTTACGCATGGTTACGCAGGCTTTACTCTTTGGTTCCATTTGCCAAGGTGCCATTTTGGTACATTTTGTGAGCCACAGCCATGTGTTGACCGTTTGGCAGAATGAACTCCAACCGTGTACACCTCCAGGTTTCGGTTTTTGAGGCAAGTGAGTCCATGCTTCGGCCGGTACATCATCTTTTGCTAGTTCCGGCAATTTTCGGGGTGACCTCCCTCTGGGCGCCGCAGGCGGTCGGCAACTTTGGGAGGTCTACTTTATGGAAGCAGAGTTCTGCCAAGCTGGGCCCAGAAAGGGAAGAAGCAACATCACCCTGCTTTTCCGAGGGTTGCAACATGGAAGCCCAAAAGCGGCCATCCACTGCGATGTTTTGCTCACCATTCACCTTCAGGCACCTTTTTGAGGCAAGCTTGATGCGACTTTTACTTGCCTGGGAGCTAAGGCAAGTGCGTACCTTGCACAGAACAACGCTGCGGCGACTACTCAGAGGACACACCCTCGGAGTGGGGCATTTGTTTGTTCCAAGGCTCCTTGGTCGTGTAAGCCCCCTGGTATTAACTTTGGGTAAGTGGATTCCTTTTTAGATCTTTATTCTTTGAGAAGACGGGGCCTTAGGTCAAATGTTGATTTGGAGCCATGCTCGTAGCAATGCATGGACGAACTCTGCAACTCTTGGGATGGATGAAGCCCTACCGGGACAGAACTGGCATCCACCAACTGGTGCCCCGCGCGGGGGGTGGGTTTTTATTCCGCGAGGAGTCCAACAAGGGCTTTGTGTGGCAGCTGGGCTTCGAGTCTAGCCTGCTGGTCTGAGCCAAAAGCCAACTGGAGAGTGGCTGTGCAAGACCCACTCCAATACCCACTTGGTCGCGGGGCATGTGCAAAGCCAGCTAGGGTGAGATACTCCTGCTTTTTGTCGGCTGCATTTTAATGCCCCGCGAACTAAGTGGGTGGCTGGAACAGGGGCTGAGTCAGTTGACTTTGGCAGAAAGCTTGGTGGCTGCGGCTATTGCAGCATGCGTGGGCAACATGGCTTTGGGGTCACTTTCTGTGATGCCCAATTCTCCGCCCCGCGGAATGAAGCCACGAGGTCAAGCAGACGCAACTCTTTCCTCTCACTATCAACGGATCATCATGAGAAGTTAGATCAACCACCACTCAAGCGATTTGAGTTGGGGTTCTGGACTCGTTGACTTTCTATCTAATCGTTTTTGCAGGACATAAGGACCCACCCCATGAAAGTTTGTGACCCTTCCCAGAAAAGTAGGCTCTTGGAACCTGCCTTCTTTACTCTGAAATTCTTGCGGAGCGACGTCCGCCCGGGTTTTTAAAGCGAATCCATCGCCATCCGACACTGGCTTTTTCTGAGCCGGCCCGGAGCCATCTGAGGTGAGTTAGAAAACCGTCCAGTGGGTGATTGGAGTGGTTCCAAGCCGCATGTGAAGTGGCCTTCAACATCCCGAATGTTCTTGTGGCATCTTGCGTGTAATTTGTGTGCGTTTCCCACACCTGCTGATTTGCATATAGGAAGGCCAGTCTCGGCGTTGATATCCCATTGGTTGGCAAGCCATGCAAGTTTTTGTTGGAATCAAGCGTGGCGAGGCCGGCCAAGCCGGCTGGATCCCACACCTGAATGGAAGCGCACAGAACCTTTCCTTTCTGCCAATCAATGACGTGAGGAAAGTCGCGTTCCAGAGGTGGGCTGTGCACATCCATGTTGGTGGGAGGGTATTACGGTATGATTGATTTGTTGTTCCGGCGAAGTCCGAACACAGGATGAATCCTGAGGCTTGCCAGTGAAGATTTGGTGCAGTGAGTGTCGAAAACGTGAGTGACTTTGGCGGCTTCTGCAACGGTCACCCTCAAAAAGCACACGCACGCGCACGCGCACACACATTGAACGGGTCCCGCGGTTGGAATAGACTTGACACCTCACCTTAAGAACTGTTTAGGAAGGACGCCAACGCAGCAGGCTGGCTTGTCATTGTGGCTCGTAGCGCAACATTAGTTTCCAGTTGCCAAGTACAAGTGGTCTTCAGTCCTCCAATCATTCAAGGCCATTGATCCTCCAGTGCCCTCAGCTAAGGGGAAGAGTGCTTCGGCATTCTCAGACTCATTCCACACGTCATGGTTTGCTGAATGACCGCCTGTGCCATCGTTGGTCCTTGTCGATTGGGCAGGGTGCCTTGCCACTGGGCAACCGGCTGCTCACCTGTTCAATTCCCAAATTAGTAGGGATTCCTCATCTGTAGCCACACAGGGGGGGAACTGCCAAATTTCACGAGGTAGTCGCTTTTGGGCAGTTCCTAACTTTTGGAACGTGAACTGGGATGGTGTGTGAGCATGCGCGTTTCAAGCAAAGCTCTTTGGTGTAGTTTCAAATCAAGTTGCTGCTTGGGCCATTCTCGGGTCAGATTCAGATCAGATCCAGGACATTTCAGCTGCGCTACAAGGCAACCGCTCTTTATAAAGGCATATGTCGACATCACTCTGTGGCACGGCTATCACAGCGCGTCGGTGTCATCCTCCAAGCAACGGCGTGGCAAGACTTGCAACATAGGCCATGTCTGACAGGGCAAACCAATGTCGCAACCAACTGAGCCTTTGGACAGGGCTTGCCCAAGGATCTCCAACCCCCAACCGCGGTCCACCACACGCCAACTCAAGCGCATCTGCCCCAACCATCAGAAGGTCGTCCGAGTGAATGCTGGTGACTTGAATGCAATGTGTGCGTCACATCTTCCATGCCAAATTCTCTGGCCGCGTACCTGACTTGGAGGTGATGAGGTGCCACCGTTGCAGTGGAGGGAGCTTGTAACTTGGTGGCCACAAGCCACTGGTACTCGGCTCCAACGGCTTGGGCGTCCTTCACGTCCACCATGACCCGGTAGATGTGTATGCGACGTGTCCACATCCTGCAAGCGAAGAATCCTGGGTGCACGCGCAACCCTTGGCGAGCTCAAGTCAACACTTTCCGGCCGCTGATGAAAGGCTTCAGGGAGCAGTTTGGACGCCTGTTGATGTGAAACCATTGAAACAGTATTGAAACGACATGCCTTTGAAGCGGTTCAAAAGTTAGTCCGGAATCCCGACACGATTCCGGCGAACCGACCTAGTGAGAAAGAACCCTTGTTGCGATAAAGTCGGATTTCTGCCGCGTCTACGTCACTTTGAAGCGAGCCCTTGTCCAGAACATGTGCAACCCAAAACCCCTTCCACGCGCCGCGAAAATCCTGATTGCTTGTTCCTCGGTTTTGAAAACATTACACAATCAGGTCCATGTCGAAAGTCCTTCGGGTGGGGAATCCTTGCTCAAGCGTGTGCGTATGCTAACCTACGGATCACAATGAACGTGGGGTGCGAACCTACGGATCGCCGCAAAGCAAGCAACAAGGGATGGCTCACAGAGTCTTCCACGAACCAGCAGGTATTGTCCTCCATTCTGATTGATCCGGAGGGCCGTGCTGGTCATAGGAATCTTCAAGGGGGGCCCGCTGCCTAGTGTGGTGCAGGGAGAAATCTGGGTTCTTGCCATACCTGGGCCCTCCTAAGTATGCCATTTTTGTGCTGTTTGGGCCAAAGGCTCCTTTTGGTGCAAACGACACATTTTTTTGCCTCAGTACATTTTTGCGTATTTTGGTGTCTTGCGAAGCCAGGATGAAGACGAAAAGGCGACATTGCCCGACCCAAAGGCGACATTCCCCGACCAAAAAGCGACATTTGCCGACCACGTGTTGGCAAGATTTTGAAGCAGCACTGTTAAAGGAAAAGGCCCTTTTTGGAGCAAACGACACAATATATAGCTTTCTCAGCAAACGGCAGAAAAAATGCACACCTGGAGGGTCTAGGTATATATCTGTTGTTGCCGTGTTGCCAAACATGGGCCATGGCTTTCCTTTCAGGTTCCGGCCTTTTGCTTTTCTTCGCTGATTTGTGTTCGCGGCTCTCTTGGGGATCCAAATTCTAGTTTGCTTCTTCCCCAGCACGCCCGCACGTTGCGCATCGCGGCCTAGGCGCAGCTTCGACCGCCCGGAGCTGCTGCCGGCGGCCTACGCCGCGCTGCAGGTGCTGCGCCAAGGCGCCCGAGACCCGCCGCTGGAGGCGCCTTGGCGGGTCGTGGGCTTGCCGGGGTTCAGTGGGCAGCTCCACCGCGTGTGGCACCCTCCCAGCTAGATTCATCTGCTTATTGTCTGTGTTTCACCCTTCAAACCTTTCTTTTGCGAGGAACCAAATAATATTTTTCTGAGCACGAACGCGTTCATGCCACAGCCCTTGCGACAGAAATGGGTCTCGAGCTGGACCCGTTGAAAGTGAACACACGCGTGCCTGAAAGTTGTATTTTGGGTTGCGCCAAAAGAGGATTCCATCGTAGGCCACTTGAACATGACTGCATGGGTTGGGTTAGATCTCCTTTTCACGACTTTCGCTGCAGTTTGGAGTCTGTGACTCGCATGGGCGCACCATCCCCTACAAATTCCTGGCCAAATTACGTAGGAATTGACATGAATTGACCCATGTTTCTTACATGGAGCTGCGTTCGAAAATTGGAACCTGCTGGCTAGTGGCATCCAATGTCGTTCTCCCTAACATCCAGCAGGTTGCTTCCTTGCTCATTGTTTTGGAAGGTCTCCTTTAAACTCAACCATCCAAACTTACTGGTTTAAGCGGCATATTGTCCACGTTTCCTTTTTGCAAACAAGCTTCAGGAGTGGCGCCGGCAACATGTGCCCGCGCACCTCCAGCTGCCACCCGGCGCATTGCCGGAGGTTGCGTGATGTAAGGGGTTGCACAAATCCATGCAAATGCCCTGTTTGTTTTTACCCACTACATCCGACCTGAGTCCTAATCAAGGAATAGTGTCGCGAGTAGTGCAAAAAATGCTGTCACATAAGCTCGCCCAAAACAAAGAAACGTACACGTTGACTGTCCACTGATGAAGTAATACCAGTGCGCCACCGCAATCTGTTGTTGCCTGGTGTCTGTATCGTTTAGTACCAAGGTCGCATGTTTTAGTTAGTTAACATGGGTTTGCCAAGGGGCTTGTGGCAATCGCGGGTGTTCTGTTTTATTGTTCAATAGGGGTTTTCTTTGGCCAGGCCGCATCCACAAGACCACGTTGGTTTGTTAGGGTTACGACGGGACCTTTTTTTGCGTGCTTGTAGAACCACGTTGTATCAGTCATTTTGGCGTAAAACCACCCATGTACGTGGAAGGTCCGGGCAATTGCCCGTCCTGGCGCTAACTAACCCAATTCATGCCTTTGACCCTCAAAGGGCCATGTGCCAAAATGTCGGGGGCAACATGGTGGAGTTCTTTGTCCTCCTACCAACAGTTTAAACCATCCTAACAAACCAAACAAACAGAATCAACAGACTTAAGCTTCGTTTGGATGAATGTCCCCAGCAGTTCATGCCTTCTTTGCCCAGGACAGAGCAGGGCTTGGACCAAGCTGCTGCTCAGCTGGAGCTGCGCTTGGCCAACGCAGGTGGCGTCAGTTGCTCGGCCGGTGGTCTCTGGGGGATTGGGACCTCGGGTTTTGGAGTGCACCGAGGGGGGCAGAACAGGGTGGGGCAAAAAATGTGTCAATAATAATATGTAATAGTGGCTCAGGCATGTATAAACCAGGGGGTCGGCGTATCCTGGTAGCAACCCGTAACCCCTTGGCCCAAAAGAACCAAATAAGGGGAATCTGATGCGAATCGAATGTCCACGTCAGATCAACGAGCCTCCGAACTCTAAATTTGTCGGGGTGGTTGCCTTTCACGATCGCGACGAATGCTTGGCTTAAAGTCAACGCCGCCCTCTATTGGTAGAAAGCATCAAGTTTGCAATGAAATTTCAATCTGAGTATTTTTATAAGATGGTAGTTGGACAAGTCTCCACCAAAGGGGCCCCCAATCAAAATGTCGCTACACCGCCTGTTCCAAGCCATCGCCCAGGCTTATCGCCTTCGAAGCCTGGGCAGCCCTCAGGCGCCGGTTTTCATCAGTTCTCATGGGACCTTTGGTTGGATTCTTTCTTTTTGTCTCTTCCAAGCCTTTAGCCCAAAAGGACAATCACCCTTGAAGAGAGACCAGCCGACAAGACCACTCCCTAAGTTCCTCTTTCAGCGGTGTTAGCACCTTTTGCGCAACTGATTGAGCCTTGCTTGGGGTTGTGTTTTGCGGCGCGACCTAGGAAAGGGAGAAATCCAAAAGGGTAAAAGTTAAGAAGGTTCAGATACGCTGTCTGCAAATGTGGTCTTTGCGCAACGCTCGTTGTTCGGCTCATCGCACCAAGGGAGGCTTTGATTCTGGGTTGAACCGGGTCCGAAGTTCCCATGTTTTTAGCTGTCAAAGGATCAAGGCGCTTAACTGGGACTCATGAAGCCACGCCTAGCTCTTGCCAAACCCCTTTCGACATCCCAGAATTTCGCCAGAAACCCAATCATGCCATGGATGTTTTTGTCCGCGTTCCCTTGGCCAAAGGGTGAAGACATCCTCCAAGTCACGTCCTGGCAGGGGCTTCTGCCGGATCAACCCAAGCCGTGCCGCAGGACTCGGTTCACTCACCCAAGGCCACTTGCTTGGTCCAAGGTTGCGGCCGTAGCGAACAGTTTCTATATATTTACGACAACTCCCCCGTGTGTGGGGAAAAACAAAAACGCCTTCGAGCAAACAGCACAAACTTTAGGTCGTTGAAAAAACATGTTGTTTGGAAAGAAGGTTGTTTTTGTGGAAATGTAACCTGGCTCATCTAAGATTTCCGGACTTTTCCGCCCTTTTCCGTTTGTTTGGCCGTCCCAGACCCACTCTACCCACAAAACTCCAAAAAGGTCGAAATTTAGAATCATGCCGCTTCATCAAAGAACAGTTGTTTCTCGAAAAGACTGACAAAAGACACACAGACGGCTTCACAGGAATATAATATATATATATATATATAATAGAATATATACACTTATGTGTGTTTGTTTTTACAAACCTGGCGGATTCGCGGGTTATTGCGCTTCCTGCAAAAGCGAAGGACCCCTCCTAAATTGGACACCACCCCAAACCCAAACAATAGTTTACTAGTCCTAGGTTTCCATTCTCCCTGAGGAGGACGGTACTGGAAGATTCCACGGAGGCAACCACTGGGCACAAGAAGCTAATCAAATGTGCCGGAAACATGCGCGGGGTACCCGCCATCCTGGTTTATCTCTTAGATGGGGTTGCCTTCTGACGGCCGGGGCTCAGAATGTAGGCCATCCAATAGTGTTCCGCGTATTTTTATTGTCCATTGGAGGGCGTCAAGGCAGAATCCTGGGAGATCTTTGGTTTGGACTGGTGTTCGGGAGGTTTGAATTCTTGGTTAAGATGACTCAATTGGATGCCCCCTCCAGACCTGTAGGAGCTGGTGGCCGAATTCCTTCACGAGGGCCCTGATACCAAGCTGTTGAGGCTGGCTTGTGGGCAGGAACCCCGGAAGTGCATTTGGATGACCCATGGGTTCTGCGCATAGCTGGCGCCATGGCACAAAATCCCAATGCCGTGGGCCCTCAGCTTGGCACTTGCACCCACCAGTGGCGCCATGGCTTCCCGTGAGCCCCATTGCTTCGCATTGCGAACCGGATGGGTCCGGCATTTCCGGGCCGCTGTCCGATGCCCAACATCACATTTGGTTTATCTATGTGTTGCTTGTCTGAGGGCAGAGTGAGGTTTGGACACCTCTCAAGCTTGTCTGTGGGAATAGTCGGTGAGTCTTCCTTTCGTGGTGTGATGTTTCAAAGTGAAACAGGATTCATAAAGCGGAGATTCATATAGACGCCAGCACCATGGTCCCAACATGGCACGCACAAATGAAGCCTGTTGTTTTTTTGAAACCTACCGTGGGTTGGCTTTTTGTTGGCTTCCTTCGGTGACCATGCGGAAGGTGCCGCTTGCAGGGCTAAGATCCTCTAAAAGCGGATGGGTTTCTTCCTCCCTTTTTCAAATGTGTGACTTTGGTCCAGTTTAAATTGGGTCTCTTTGAGTGACCTGGGTGGGATCACGTGGAACCCTTCTACAGGTTGATCCCCCATTCTTTTCACCCATCATTCTTTTGAGAGACCGCTTGTAATCTTGGGGTCCTGAAACTTGTTGCATTTGGTTGGAAAAGGAGGAACCCACAACAAAAAAAACGAGGCTATGCCAGATGGTAGTGTGTCCCCTTGTTGCAGTGATGTCCTACTATGCTTTACGGATCACGGATTCCTCCGGCCACCCAGGGAAAAAAAGAAGGCAAATGTATGGAACTCATTTAGGATCCCACCGAGTAAGAGGAAAACAGAAACCAGCTACCTGAAAATTATACTGGCAATCTTTGTTATTGTTTAGTGGTGTGTGTGGCCAATTTTCTGACGGAATTCTTGCAGCTGGTTACTGTGAAGTAAGTGACAGACCCAACCCCCATTCGGTGCAGCCGAGCCTTTTTGAGTCTTCATAAATTTTGTGTAGACCACTTTCGCTCTAGATTGCGACTGAACTTGGCGCAGGGACCTTTTTGAGTCAATTTACCATCGAGGTCTGTGGCATTGTGCGCCACTCTTACCAGGTTTGAGTCTCATGGGTTTTGGGCATAGGCGACCTTTACCAGAGTCTTTCCCATGGGGATGACAATGGTGATGATGATGATGATGATGATGATGATGCTGATGATGATGATGATGACAATGTGCGCTAGCCCTTTTTTTTGGGTGTCGCTTGGCGCAGGCGCTCTCTGGAAGACTTGGTGGCCGACTCCTTGCAGCTGCCGACTCCTGCGGTGCACGCGCACCTGGTGGGCTCCCGGCTCTATGGCGCTGGGGGCCTCAGGGGGAAAGACCTCAAAAAATGGCCACGAGGTGGGGGGTGTCGGACGCGTGTTTGCTTTTCCCCCAGGAGTTTGGGGGGAGGGCTCCAGACCTACTTCTGTTGTTTTTTTGCAGTGGTTTGAGGCCTGTGAGCTGTTTCAAGCTTGAATCCCGAACTTTTCTCTCTCGCCTAACCGCCCCTGATGAGTGCGGTCCGAATTTGTTACAAGTCGACTTTGGACCATGATGATGGAGGTTGGTTTTGTTTGGAGGCCCCTTTGTGCTTTGAGCAGCCAGCTGTAAAAGGTTATTTATGAGTGCTACAAGGCCTTCGCAGACCAATAGTGTGGGGTAGTTGCTCCTGGAAAAAAACGGGAGCTACTGTGCGGCAAGTGAGGTATTTGGCCATGCTTGCATAAGTTTCTGAGAGTGAGCTTGCTCATCGACCTCGCCGTGGTCTTGAGGCCTTCCGGGATTTCTTGAGCGTCTAGAACTGCTCCTTTTCACAGCACCAGGCGGCGTTGCCAGACGCAGACCTGGACATTGTGGTGGAGATCCAGGCAAGTTTTTGCCGGATGTTCCATCGAAACCTGATGCAGGAAATTCTACACTTCCTCCCACTAACATGGCGCCTTTGGGAAAGTCAGCCATCTGAATTAAAGGGACCCCCTGTTGGGGGCCAAGTTTGTGGGATGCAGGGTGACGGAGGGACATGAGACGGATTCTCTCCCGAATCGACCGTTGGCGCCATGTTCTTGTCGCATTTCCGGTGGCTGGTTTCTCAGTCGGCATGGTTAAGGGGGAATGCTAGAAATCTCCATTCGTGTTTCAGGTACCTCCCCTGGAAGCTCCCGAAAAGCCCCTCCCTTCACATCGAAAGTTGCCCATCTGGTTCCTGAGGTTCTTTCTTTTGTTGGGATAGGAGGGCATCTCAGAGATGTGCCTTGCCCTTTGGCGATTCACAAAGTAAGAAGTATCACGAACTCAGAAGCATGTCTACTATGTCTATATACATATACGAATATATATATATATAGCTTGCGGGTTGGCCCGTTTAAAACTTTATTTCTAATTCCAGTGGAACTGAGGTGCATGAACCTGAGCAAGACAATTGCGAGCTCATTCCTTGTTGTGAACAATAGATGCCGAGTCTGTAGGAGCACCAGGTGGGCCGGCCATGTTGGGCAAGGATGCCCGTCTAGGATCGCGCGTCCTAGGGGTATATTATACATACACACGTAACGTGGAAAGTTCGAGTATCAGAGGAAGCTTTGCAGGTGACCCTACTCCCCTCCACAGAGAGTTTGCCTCTCAATTACGGCCATTTGAAGTGTCCAACGTGGCGCACGGGTTTCTTCCAGAATCTTATTGGGCGAGGGTGTGCTTCATGTCTGCAATTTTGATCAAGCTGTTGCGCCAGTGCAGGTCAAAAGCGGAAGGGCCAATTAGGATGAGCAGGGCTCCTAAGATCGTCATGCTGGTAAGCTTGGGATAAGCTGATGCCTCTCAAACCTTGGAGATAACTCCCCCTGGCAAGGATTTCCACCAGACAGCCCCAATTCGTTGCCAAACAACTCGTGCTTTGCAAGTTGTTTTTCCTCAAAAAACACTTGCGCGTGGATAATGTCAGATTGTTTCTTGAGGGTGGGTAATGTCAGACTGTTTGCAGACACCTTATTTGTCAGTGTTGATTGATTGGACATGTGGATGGGGCTCCTCACTGAGGACCTCGGCCAACCAGAAGTCAGCCAGGACACCAGCAGGCGCGAGAGCAGAGAGACGCTGCATGGCTGCCAACTCGAACCAGGCGGTTTTGTTTGTGTTTTGCGGCGATTCCGCTGGTGTTTTGGGAGGCGATTCCTTCAGAAAAGAAATAGACCTCCAATTTTGCCGCGGTCCTTTGTTTGCAGTCCTTTTTGGGGGGGTGGTCGTGGTGGATGCGCGTACCTCGAACGGGCGACATAGAGTTTGGAGCGCTCAGCTGGTAGCCTTCGTCAAGTCTGAAGTTCTCAAGCATGACAGGTGATCCATTTGACAGACCTTGAGTCGCAGCAATGGGTCTAGCTGACTGGATTTATGATGTTTAGCTGGTCACCTGGTCACTGGGTTTATGTTAAAACCCTCTAGGCCCCGTGCCGAAATTGGGTAGCTGTTCTGAGGTCCTTGTTGGTGTTGCTTCCCAAGTTCCATTGATCGCCATTTGGCTCAAGACACAATTGAGGTTCAAGATCTGATGTGTGACTGCATACATACGTGATCGGCATTGAGAGCGAAAACACTTCGCTTGCGCTGCATTTGTCAGGACTACTGTTGTAACTATCATTCCTTCTCCCTTACAACGTTTACACGGGTTCGGCTATAACGGCATCGTCCGTATACACCTTTCTACGTGGTTGGTATTACAGCTTGAGGGTTCGGTGCATAGCGTCCCACGGGACGTCACCTTGCCGTCTCTTGACAGGTTATCAGCCGTAACTACAAGCTCTACACTGGACTGGGAGACAGCTGGTTTATTGCGGGTACAGGGACAATAAAGGAACGATAACCTACACAGTACAATGGCGTCTTCGGCGAGCCCAAGTACTGCAACTTTTGGGAACAGCAGCTCAGAGGGATCCAATGGATTGATGGCTCTTCCTGCGGTGATGGATATGGTTGCAGATTCACAGGATGAACCTGGGAGCGGAGGTTCCGCGCTATTCAGCGACATATCTACTCCCACAAGATCATGGAAGCAGATCGATGTTCATCAGGAGTCGAAGAAAAGAGAATCCCCACCGAGAAGATCATCATCTTCGCCTGCGACACCACGGACGTCGCAGAAGGGCGTGAGATCGACATCGAAGGGTGGGAGGTCAAAATCACCCACCAGTGCAGATTTTCGCGCCGTGATCAAAGAGAAGAATAAGATGGAGGTGGAGATCGGGGAATATCAGAAGACACTTGATGAAATGTCGGCAGCAATGGCGAATCTTAACCAAGAAGACTATGGAAGCACCATCCGGATCCAGGAGCTGGAAAGACGATGCGAGATTGCCAGCAAGCAGTCGGGACATCTAGTGAGTCACCACCAACACCACATGGCTGAGGCATGGCGCAAGTTTGAGGAAGAAGCCCAACAGATGCGCAAGGTGGAAATGAACGCATTTCAGTACGGGGAGAAGAAAGACATGGAGTCGAATATTATAATGCAACAGATGAGGCAAGCTGAAGGAACTATCATGGAGCAGAAGCGGGAGATTGCATTGATGAAATCCTACATGGCAAGCGAGAAGTCGGCCGCGCAGGAATCAGCTATACGTGCAAATCAGATACACCGTGAGGCTTCACAACAGATATCAGTTTATCAGCAACAGATCAGAGGCATAGAATCTTCTACATCTATCGAGAAGTTCAACGAGGAGGAGATGGTCCAAAGTCTGAAATCACAGTTGGAGCATGCACTCGTCAAGCGCCCCGAGACGTACTCTTTGGAGGACTCCAGGGAACAGCTGATGGCGAGGCTGAATGACGTTACAGTATTTGCGGAACAGGAATCGAAGAGAGCAGATTGCTTGCTTCGCGAAAAAGAAGAGATCGTCAAACAGTATGAGTCCGACGTGTCGATGAAGGACCAGATGATTGCTGTCGAAGGTGGTCATCGTCAGGATGCGATCTTGGAGTTAGCCCAGGTCAAAGAAGAGAAACAAGAGGAACGGTGCACGATGGACGAGAAGTCGAAGGAGGCTGAGTACTGGAGATTGACAGCTAAGGGAATGTACGATGAGTACCTCGAGGAGATGCATGAGCTTCAGAGACAACTGAAAGAAAGAGAGGCGACGCTCAAGCAAGAAGAGAGTTTTGTACGCCAACTCGATGCTGACAACGAGGAACTACGTGCACACAAGAAGCTGGAGACACAGGAAGCCTCCAGCAGCAAAGATGGACATCGTGAACGAGCAGTAGTGAAACGCGCTGAGGGAGGAACCCAGGCTAATTCAAATAGGATAGACAAGAAGGTGGCTGGGTCAGTCCCGTCATCGTCTTCAAATCAAATCCCTAATTCGTCGCTGATGCCAGGTTCGATCCTCTTTCCGTCTTTCGGTGATCCAATGATCGATGTACACCTATCCCAGATGCAAGGGGTTGTTGGGCATGTCCCACAATCCACTACTACGACTGGTGGTGGTGATGGGGGGGGAAACAACGGTACTACGCCCCCATTGGATTACGGTGGATTCCCGCCCAATGGGAATGGGCAGGGAGCGGGTCGACGTCAGTTGAGCCTCGCTGGTGGCGGAGGAGGACCTCCGGATGATCCACCCGATGATGAGGATGAGGATGACGACGACGAAGGAGATGAGGAAGACGAGGAAGAAGAAGAGGAAGAAGACGATCGGACACGGAGGAGACGAAGGAGATCGAGAGATAACCGAGAGATCAAGAATGATCGACCGAGAATCTCGAGGAAAGAGGCCGAGAGAGTATCTATTCCGGCCTGGCCAAAGATCCATCAACTTGACACCTGGAAGATGCAACTGCTGATGAATGTTCTGAGCGCATGTGCAGATCCAGATACCGACGCATGGACGAAATGGCTGGAGCAGGCTCTTGGGTTGAACCCAGACCTGGATTTGCTTAGCGATTCAGGTGGCGACAGATTTGCTACGATAGATATTAAGATGGCCATGGGCATGCAGAACATGCTGAAACAAGCACCTGACGAAGCCAAGGACGTATACCTCGATGCTACACGACACTCTGAACTACGACATCAACAAGGGGTGATCGTGAAGGGACGAGAGTTGGTGGCATTAGTTATGCAATCATTCAGAACTTCCGATAGAACGGATCTTGTCTACCACATCGAGCATTTATTCAACCTTGACTTTCCTGGCGACAAGAACTTGGTCATGTTCAGGAACAAATGGTATGATTTGCTGCTGAAGATGAGGAGCGAGGACAGACCCAGTAAGCTGGCTCTCAGAGACATCCTTTACAGGAAGATCAAAGGGAGCAAGAAGATGGAGTTCGGCCTCAATGCCTACCATAGACTACCGGACAAGCATCCTCAGAAGACGTATGAATTCTTATTGGCGTTGATCGACTATCAGATCAAGGCAGATCGGGAAGACCTGATGCTCGACATGAAGGAGAAATCGGTCAAGTCGATGATGAAGTCAGGCGGGAAGGATGCGGCTCCAGCAACTGGCAAACAGGAGAACCAGGGTGGCAAGGGCAGAAAGGGGAAACCCGGTGGACCTGATGCCGCTCCTGTGCTCCCAAAAGCCAAGGCAAAGGGCCACGCTGGCAAGAACGGCAAGTCCGACGGTGCCAGCGACAGAGGCAAGAGTCCGGGCGGAAGCAAGGATAACCCCTGCTGGTACCACTTCAAATCGGCGAAGGGGTGCGTGAAAGGGAATGAATGCACTTTTTCCCACAGCAAGAAGACGGAGCATAAGTTGGAGAGCATGTCCAAGGGGAAAGGAAAGGGCAAATCCAAGTCCAGATCATCGTCACCAAAGAGGGATGATGGAGCATGCTTCGCGTTTCAGAAGGGGAAGTGCGATAGGGGAAGCGCTTGTAAGTACAGGCATGAGCTCATCAAGAACAATTCAGCTCCAGCAACGTCAAATGACAAGGCGCAAGCCAAGTCGAAGGCTGCCGCCAAAGCCGCAGCGCCTGCCATTGCGAGGAGGGCCATCGCAATGCCCGCGATAGTCCTGAAGCAATCGGCTCCTGCAGGGAAGGTAAGCTTCAAGAAGGACGTTGATCAGGTCGAACCGGACGAAGCCGAGACTGTCTACCACGAGCACGATGACGACGCGATGAGCGAATCATCGAGATGGTCTGGCGAGTCCGAGATCCCCGAGAAAATGGTGTGGTTCAAGGAAGTGCTCGACGTCGACGAGAATGGGGAGATCACCTACCTCGAAGACGAGAGAAGGCAATGGGAACGAAAAGGGGAATGGTACGGTTATGAGGACAATGAGAATGAGCCTTATCAGTACGTGTACGTCGACGAGAAGAAGTTCAAAAGCAGTGATCATCGTGAATTGTCAGCCTATCAAGTCCAACGATCATTGATACGTGCGAAGATACTGAGAGAAGTAGTGGATGATGTATATAAGAAGCACTACTTCCCGGTGACCAAGGAGAGCAGCATAATGTTCGAGTATGATCGGAACAAGGACGAGATCAAGGAATCGGCTGTCGACTGGAAGAAGCAGCATGGTATGCCGAAGAACGTTTTCGCCATGTCAACGTGCATCAGCAAACGGGTGAAATGGTTGATGGACACCGGATGTGGTCATGATCTCATTGGAAGAGCCAAGGCGAAGAGCCTGGGTGTCGACATCGTGAAAGATGACGACGAGATCGTGTTCCAGACCGCGAATGGTTCCACTTCCACATCTGATGTGGCCAAGATAGTCGTGGACGAGTTGGACGAGACTGTCGAGCCGCATGTATTGGATGAGACACCCACGGTATTGTCAGTGGGGAGGAGATGCATGAAGATGGGTTATGCATTTCACTGGATGCCTGGTAAACTACCTTTCATGGTTACGCCAAAGCAGGGATTCGTGCACTTGCAGGTCAAGGACGACATCCCGTACCTAGTGAGTGATGGTAAACTTCGGAGTAACAGGCATCGCCCTACGATAGACGACCTCAAGGAGCACTTTTCGGAAGTATTGGCGATGGTAACGAACGACGAGGCAGATCAGGGAGGTGACGATGAGAACGACGTCACACCCGCCGCTGTCGGTGAGTCCGCAGAGGC